TATAACAAAACAACGTTGATCATACTATGCGAAGCCAACTGGTCTTCTAGAAATGTTCTTTAATTGACATTCAATTTATCTATTACAACAAGGTAGGAAACGTATACCTACGGCTTGCATGATGTCTCACTTTCCGGGACTATTTACGTAAGATTTATGTTTATTTCCTAATAACCAGTAACGTTAACAGGTACCTAGTAATAAATAGGTGGTCGGAGATTGAAGCTATTCCTGCGCAACTACATACGATACAAGGAGCGTACTGTGTGAATCAAAAATGATACCATACAAATCTAATAGCCCATGATAGAGGAGATAGAGGATTGGAAGGTCTAACATCTTTAGATGAAGGTAACTTCCCTTACCTAGGTACGGACTTCACTACTTGTTAACTAAGGCTGTATTTAGAAAGACGGTAGAGCTGAAGAGGTAAGAGGTAAGAAGTAAGAAATAAGATAGATCGGGCATCTATTGTTACCTATCTTAAGCTAGCGGATATTCACTCTGCGATCTAATCTAGATTTTCTAGGCCGGCATTCTGTAGCTCGCCGTCAAGACGGATCCCCCTCCCTTTTACTACCTAGGCTAAATCTGCATCACATTTATTACTGCAGTCGCCTAGGTTAAGCGTACTACTTATTGTACAGCCGGACAGCTCGTAGAAGAACTAAGTAACAAATCTAGCGTCCTCCATCCCTGGAATCGCGTGCGACTAGCACGTCTATCACTTCTCGGCTCCCTCCGGACGTTTCAAACACCAGACACTTGTACACGCGTTTATCCCCACGGATGACACAAGTCTTATTATTAAAGATAAGTTAAGTCAAGTATATCAAAACTAGTTCAAACTAGTTAGACGAAAGAAACCAAGCTAGTAAATCCTCATCAGCGACGACTATTTTCGAATGCTTCGTACAAGTTCAGATTACCATAACTACCAACTCCAGTCTGAACCGAGTTTGATCCAAACCCGTCTTTAAAGGTGATAGGTCATGACTGGTCCGTTTCATCATCGTCGCACATGAACCTTCTCCCCGGTTCCTATATGCCGGGAACCGGATAGCCGAATGTTGGGATCTGTATAAGTTAATGAGGAAACCTAGACCATCGACTAGTCAGGGGAGACCAGCGCTTCGTCGGTGTCTACCTCTAAAGAATCTAGAAAGACCCTTTCAACGGCTATTTGCATCATACCTGCATCTGCCCACCTTCAATATTGGTCTGGAATGCTTCCACGTTCCGGGACTGCACGCGACTGGCCTGCAGGGTCGCCGACGAGCAGTACGTTAGCTGCGCCGAGACGATCTGTATTTACGAGCCGCATGAAATAAAGGTAATATTCGGGCTGTCCTACAAGTGAACGAGGCAGGGGTTTTCGAGGGGTGAAAATCAGGAGGATCAAAAGCCAAAAAGCCAAAAAGCCAAAAGCCACGATACCGCAGCAAGCCGTGTCCTCCCTATTCCATGTTTTGGTCTGAGAGTGAGTAAAAATGCGCATAGCATTGTGAAACAGCCATCATCGACGTAGAATGTAGCCCACCGGATAAACCGAAGAGTACCTAAATTACCATTGCTACTAATATCAGGTATATTTCGTCTCTCCTAAGACCAAGTGGATTCCACGATAACCTATACCCCCCCGCGGATGAACACGTCACCGGCATTACCGGTCCCAAGGATCAATGCCCGTCGACGACAACGGTTATGAAACAAGTGGCCAATTGGCCAATTAGCCAATTGCAAAATTTGTTGACCAGGTATACAGAATCACGGGTCATGGAAAAATTAGAAACCCAAGCTCCAGCTCGTTCGTAAGTGGTCCAAATCCGATAGATACTTACATATTAGGTAGGCAGCTGAACGAAACGTTATAGACGATCGAGTTCCATCGAAAACTAGTTACATAAATCTTGCCTTGCTAGACCTACATAATATACCTACACACATAACCTACATATATAATATACATAGACACACGCATACATATGTTCCGTCGAGCGAGGTTCTTGTTGGTGTCGGCATTTCCCCCCAATCATGCACGAATGGTAACTCTGGTACCGAGTCGGCATGGTAGTAAGTATAAGGACGCATGGGGAAACTTACCCAATGGAGCCAAGAGACCGCGTGCCAGTTGGGTAGCGGCCGATTGCCGACCTCGCGGGACGAACGGGACGAATCCACGACAAGATCGGCTCCGCACTCACTCGAAACGCGGACGTTGCCTCTTTCGACAGCTGAGGCTCCCGTGGGAGATTCGAGGGGTGAAAGTACTGTAGCGATAGGTCGGCAACGGACGCGTCTCCTGGGCTGCCTACTGGATATTATACATGCGCATGCGCATGCGTACAATAGCCCTCGCCGTACGACTTCATCCCTAGTGGAATCTTTGTCTACTTTACCACTTTACCTACTTCCCCTACTTTCCCTACTTTGTCTCCTGTCGTTACCCCGATTCGTCGTCGTACCCTGCCGCTGCGCTCCTACTAGTGGAGTGTCCACGGGCGGGGGGGCTAGAATCCCTCCTCTGGCCGTTTCCTGAAGTAGCATCCCATCCCGTGCGACGTGGAAAACATGTCGCCCGTGTAACGCATCACAAGTCTAATACACTAAACTAGCACGCAAGCATAAAGACCTAGACGGAGATCCTCGTCCCCCCTCTAGGAGAGCGTGTGCATACCATATACTATGTAACTACCTATGTATGGTATCCAGGTATCAGGTATTATCAGGTAGTTATCAGAAAGAACGTAAACACCCGTCTAGGGAGAGGAAGACGAAAACCGTGAATCATCACCAGGCCAGCCAAGAGAATCAAATACCACCGCGGCACTTCAAATGACTCACCCCCGCACCGGCACGGCCTGGAGAGAAAGGAGGTAATTTACACCGAGAGAAAAAGAGAGAGAGAAAGAAAGAAAGAAAGAAAGAGAAAGCGCCTCGAAAGTGGACTTGAACCTACCCACCAATTGGCGCTGTACGCAACCGAGCTAGATGCTTTCACAAGTGCATGCGTCGAAGTGATACCAAGGCCGTTCGCCCCATGCGTGCAAGCTACGCGAGACGACATATGGTCTCGGAGATGGAAGTAGTACAGACCAAGACATGACATGCAGTGAAACGAACGACCTTGTATTACCATCACGACGACCAACTATTCAACAATATCGCCTTCTCTTTTCTCTACAGAGCTAGAGACTCCAATTCAGGGCGTTCCCGGGCTCAGCTATAAACTGAGTTAACAAACCTAACCTAGAATATTAGATGAGATAACTTGCCTGCCGTAGGTAAGTAGTAAAATGAAAACCCCTATAGCATTTGTAACTCTAGAGATTCGGGAACTTGAAGAAAAAAAAGGGGGGGTGAAGGAATAATCGTAGCTATAGGATTCGGCCTGCATACTAAGTACTTACTGCTGCGTTTATTGATTTTGTCTTTTTGTCCCTTTTTCTTCACTTTCCGAGATTGTTGCGGCTGAGGAGCGCACGTGCGCCAGGATTCTGCTAGAGAGGACTGCTTGATATGCACAAGTAGGCGAGCGGCGTAGGCGTGCCACGAGGTTTACTTTCTTTTCTTTTCATGGCACCCCGGGATACGGATCTCGATGCAGATAATCTATCAGAAAGGTTGGGTACCTTAGGTAGGTAGTTAAGGAAAGGGGAAAGTTCTTCGAAGTTGATTTTTTACATGTTCTCGCAGTGGAATCCCTCTTGACCATCAAACAGGGAGCATGCGCGCCACATCTGACATGGGCTGATGATAAGAAATACCTAGAATTAAATACTCACCGCCGCTTAAAAGAGCGTACTGTACTTCTATTTTAAGATTTCTCATGGCATCTTGGAAAGAACCGATTCGTCATAACACTCGTAGCAGTGACGCCTTCGTCGGATATTTTAATAACAGGTATTTACGAGCACTGACAACGTATTTGGTTCCGAGGGCACTCCTGTCCGTACCGACTCATCGAATGGGCAGGTTTCCAGGTCGTTCAAGGGCTATTGAAGCTACTGTATGTAGAGGAACCTTGGCACCGCGTCTCCCTTCGCTTGCTTCCGCCCTTTAATAGATTCGGTGACCCCTTTCACTACGTATTTATGTCTAACCTACCGTAATTGGTCTGGTTGTTGTTGCAAGATAAGCAAGCCCGCGAGGCCGGGTGTGAGGAAGAGGGGGTCCGGAAGCCTTCAAACGGGTCGGAAATGCGCGATGCATAACGGAGTTCGGGATCCCCAGTATAGCAGCACCTCAGTACCTGACGCGAGCCCAATAGCCGGCGTTCCCCTTGCAGCAACGACCGAATGGATGCTTTATAAGTCGCTATCACTAGTTAAGCTAGGGCAATCCTAGGAATTGCAGCTAAGATCCAAACTCTAGAAGCCGAAAGCGGCATTGCCTGCATAGCAGTGTTAATAACTATAAGAGGTAATTTATAACCGCTGATCTCCTGCTTGTCATCGCGGTTTGCTGCGATTTTCTAGCGCGTCCCTATTAGGGATCCAGTTTTACCTCGTCCCGATCGACGGCGCAGATAGTCACGTATTTATCGCCATAAGAGGTATTTAGTATTTCTCTGAGCAGTTGTTCTCAGGTTGGGAGGTTCTCGATATTGTAACACTTATATTTGTCTGTAGTTGTTAAATCGATAGCCTATCTCAAGCCACCTCAGTACTACATTTTTATTTAGATGCGCCGACAGCTAGATTATTTGCATGCCTAGGTTGATACCTGGAGAGAGATGGGTAGGTACTTATCGCGGCCTATAGAGGTATCTAGCCTAGCTTCGGCTTGCCACTGGTTGTTCGTGTCATAGGCACTACATATGCTATGTATTATATTATAGGCCATGTTTTTATCGAACTAAGGATATGAAGAATTTTCTAGGAATCCTCACATAAACCGTGAACACTCCGGGCAATCTCTCAAATCCTAGGACAGCCCACAAAGAAAGACATCCCCAATCCTTCCAAGTATAATAAAAAAATATCTTTATCCTGTCAACTATGTGTAATACGTCGCTACACGCGTTTCTTGAGGCTCTACCCAAAGCCGAGCACCATATGCATCTCGAGGGTTCGCTCGAGCCGGAACTCCTGTTTGAATTAGCAGCAAAGAATGATATAACTCTTCCCTCCTCCGATCCAGCCTTCGCCTCCCCAGAATGCCTCCGCAAACGCTACGAGAACTTTCAGAACCTGGATGATTTTCTTAGCTACTACTATATCGGCATGTCAGTCCTAATAGATAAGGCCGACTTCGAGGCTCTAGCGTACGCCTACTTTGCCAAAGCCGCATCCCAAAATGTCCGTCACGCGGAAGTTTTCTTCGACCCGCAAGCTCACGCAAGCCGTGGTGTCGAGCTCTCAACAATCGTAGAGAGTTTTAGCCGAGCTCAAGAAAGAGCAGCAGTTGACTTCGGCATGACCACAAAGCTGATTATGTGTCTGCTACGGCATCTACCCCTTTACGAAGCTATGGAGATGTTTTCGCAAGCGAGAGACGGAGGTTACTACGCTAATGGTACTCTCGCTGGTGTCGGTATGGACTCGTCTGAGGCACCGTTTCCACCGCCCCTATGGAAGGATCTTTACGACGTCGCGAAAGAATTAGACATTCGAAGGACAATCCATGCTGGGGAGGAGGGCCCACCACTCTACGTCTCTCAGGCCCTCGACATACTAGATGTAGAACGTATAGATCACGGCGTCCGTGCCTTGACGGAGGGTGATGATGCATTGGTCGCGCGTCTTGCCTCCTCTAAGACCCTGCTAACCCTGTGTCCTCTGTCGAATGTTAGGTTAAACTGCATCGATTCGATAGATTCGTTCCCCCTTAGAAGATTGATAAATTCTGGTATCAGGTTTAGTATTAACAGTGATGATCCGGCTTATTTTGGGGGATATATACTCGAGAATTACTGTGCTCTGCAGGACGCATTCAACTTGAGCATCAGGGACTGGGAGGCAATTGCGAAGGGTGCCGTATTAGGTAGCTGGTGTACTGAGGAGAGAAAGGAGCAGCTACTGATCGAGATAAAGGACGTTGCCGACAAATGGAGTAGAGAATCTGAGAAAGAGTAGTCAATGTTCGAGGCGTCACATATCGTACTTGGGACATATTTGGTAGCTGTCTAGTCAAATGGATACTATGTAAAGAGCCTCTTATATATCAGTTGCCCTGTTTATTGTCTCAGTAGTTCACCTATATAAGCTCTTCGATTGCCTTCCATCTAATTACCTAAGGCAACACACTATAAGCACGATTTAGTCCATCCACTCTTTTCTTCTTATAACTAACTGGGGAAACTTACTTAACAGTTTAATCTCTGTAACTAGCAGGTTACTATGCTCTTGTTATCATGAAATCTTAATAAAAGTATTCAATCTTCTCTTCAGTCGCATGCCTCGAGTTACTTGGATACAATATTAAGATCATACTTAAAGGTCAATCCATGATCTTGGATAGAAGATGTAGTTAGCTTAACTAATATAGAAATAAACCATTCTAAAGACAATCTAGTGATGATGACCTTTATTTCCATAATCGCAAGAAAAAAGATCTATCTGATTCATGTCGAATTTAACAAGTTCTCTCAATATCTAAAAGCTATATCGACCCTTACTTTCGGGCATCTCATATTAACTAGAGGCTGTTATGTCTTATGCACTTGTATATAATTAATGACGTCAATGTCAGCAGATACAAAGTGACAAGTTGAATTCACACTTAAGGAGGTAAACATTTTCTAATATACACCTACTCATCTATAAGAGTCTTGTATCCCTTTTTATGATCATATTGTAACGATCGAAAATATTCTTTATTGAAAATCATCTGTGCTAGATTGTGATCTGGCCCGTCATTGGACAAGGAAATGGATTACCAGGGGTTGAATGGTTCACGTTGACCAGGCAACGCATGTAAACAACGTAAGAACGGACACTTAGCGACCCGCATTCTTTTTCATCTCGCCCAACCATTTCATTCATTTTGACATTTAGACCTGCAGATCTAATATACTGCCAACGCAACGTACGCATCAAAACAAACTCAAAGGACCCAGCGGCTCCGGAGGGTACATCCTTTAATTAAGAACCTTGAGTGCTATTCCTCATCCTTTCTCACACTTGAATGCCTCGACAAAAAACAGATCACAATTTCGAAATCTACGTGGACCCGTCTTGCTTGAGCACACCGATAAATGAGGAGCATCCTCAAGAATTAAAAGCAAACAGCAAACAAAATACTTTTTACCAGGACGAGGAGTCCGTTACTGTTGACAAGGCAGGGAATGGGACGGAGATGAACAGTAATAACAGAGAATCGGAAGTCCGACCCAGCGTAGAGACCGACCACAGCGAGATGGATGACGAATATCTTGACAGAGCCGAAGGATCTGAAGGGGGTGAATTTGAAAGCGAAGACAAGCATGAGGATGCGGAAGACGGTTCAGTACTGAGCGACCAAACAGATGACGATGATACCCATGATCCAGCCCAAACAGATGATTCATATCTCGGAGACCCCGAGTTTGCAGATTCTCACATCCATGCCGATGATGGCGGTGATACTAGTTCTCATCACGAAGCCACGGACGAAGATGTGTTTAGCGACAAGAGCCCACGAAGCTCTCTAGGGTCGTACGATGCCGTTTCCGAGTCCGACAAGGCACACAAGGACTTTGACAATATGACAACCGCGACTCGGTCACCTCGAGTTTCCGATATTTCATCATACGAGCGGGAATATGAGAAGGGAGATTTCATTCCTACCGTTAGAGGAACACCGCGCCCGCCGTTTCGGACCCCTTCGGATGTGCGAGCCATGCAGATGTCATCGCCGCCATCTTCGGTCCTCGGTTCTCCTCGATCTACAAAGAGGCAGTTTCCTACAGTTTCTCGCTTAGGAACGCCCACAGCCTCCGCCCAGTATTCCCCGAAGAGGATGTCCACCCCGCCGCGTTTTAAGGGACGTAAGGAGGCACCTCTCGTCCTACTCCATGTCACATTGTTACCACTAAGGTGGGCATGGGGCAATCTACTTAACAATCTCGATACGGATGATGTGAGCGAGCAGGTGAAGACTCTCCAAGAATCATGGAGACTCCTACAAGACCGAATTGGCGACACCGTCATCGAGAGAGGTATACTTCTAGGCCATCCTCAGAATGACTATGAGGTTCTCGAGGAGCGCCTGCTCGAAGCGTTAGAGTTGCCGTTCCGCAGACGAGCTCGGATCTTGGAATGCGGTCATTATCTCGGTCCTGCCAACGAGTCAACCCTGACCGAAGACGAAGAGAGCGAAGATGAGTGGAGTTCCCAACGATCTCGTGCTGGGGATAAGCGACACTGGTGTGACACTTGCAAAAGCGAGATTCGCGGTGACTCTCTCGGCTCGGAAAAGATCTTTCGGGTTAAGGTCTATGCCAGCAACGGGTTGATGAGGGCTGGTGCCTGGGAAGCTTGCTGGAAAGAGATGGAGCGTGTAGACGTTGAACTGGAACCCATCGTAGAGCCCGCTTTGCAAGAGGAGTTAGTCCATCTCGCCGCGATTCATCAAGAGGCAAATATTGAAAAGGAGACCACGCAGCATCAGAGGGAACGGACCGATATGGGCTCTCAATTTGGGGCCTCCTCACCCCAGCCAGAGCCGTCCCGCGTTGGCACACCTATTTCTGCAGAGGAGCGGCTCCGGCAAGATGAAGAACGGCTTCGCGAGATCTATGGACATTCGCCACCACCACAATCTCAGGAGCCGTCGGTTCATCCAGGTCAGGACAAGGGGTCACATGTGCCACCACCGCCTCCCTCCGACGACGCCTATAAACAAAAGAAACCACATCAGGCTGCCTACCAGAACGCGTCGTTCCCTGAGCTTCTACTTCAGTCTATGAGGGTTTTAATACAAGACGGCAGGAATGTTGCCATCTTCACTCTCAGCATTTTTGTGCTTATGCTTGCCTTCCGGAACGCTCCCACTCCGGCTGAGCCCGTCTACGAGCCAGTGATCCACCGGATGAGAGACGTCCCAATCGCGCGCCGCGCCCAGGCCGTCGATATACCTCAGGTACCTACCGTCCAGGTAAATTTCCCGACGACAGAATCGTTAGTTGTACCATCACTTTGCGGCGAACCTTCCACGACACCTCAACAACATGCGCCGTTAGCTGATCTTGTAACGGCCGTATCCGATCAAGCTCCACTGGGAGCAGTTCAGCACCAAGATGCACCTGTTGCTGAGTCCTCTGTACAGGCAGCATCACTAGAAGAAGAGCAATACGAATCTGAAGTGAAACCTATCATTTCTGAAGAACCTACAAGTATGACGTCTGCTCATGATACGATACAGACCGAACCTATAGTGGCTGAGACGGACTATCAAGACGATCTAGAAGTTGTATTGCAGCAGGACATATCCACCAGCGAGCCTGCAGCGGCTCCTATGGATTACCAGGAGGGGTCCGTTGCCGAAGAACCTCAGCAAGAGACAACTCAAAGCGAAGCTGAACCAGTCTCAGCGATTTATGAAGCTTTAGAAGTTGCAATTGAGCCCACAGCAGCCCAGGACAGCACAGCAACGGCGACAAGCATATCCACTGTCTATGAGCCGTGCAGTACATTCGCAGGCGCCTACGACCAGTTTATATACATGGCACTTAAGTCGGAGCAGACCGAAACTGTAACAGAGAAGAAAGTGGTTCGAGTCTTCCACACAGTCACGGAGACGGAGCTGGAGACGGCTACTGAAACCGTCAAGATGTCTGCCACTGATGTTTCAACCGAGGCTACACCATCTGTTGCTACGGACGATGTTGCTACGGATGATGTTACTAAAGATGATGTTCCCCTTGATCTAACTCCAGTCATGTCATCGGAGAAAGAGGAGCCAACGGTGGCTGAAGTTGTGACCGAAGCTATGACGGAGGAAATCGAATTGTAATGTAGTAGATATTGAGGGTTATGTGGGCTACGAGGGAGGGATTTTATTTGCAACGAGTACATACGTAAGCTAACCGAACGTATCATGCTAGCGCTTCTGTTTCGCTCTTTTCTAATGTTTCGATCATCGTTCTGCGTGGTGGGACAGGATAGCCTGTCAGTCAAGATTGCGATAGATCGACGATACCAATGTAGCATGTATGTGAAGCATCTCCGGACTGCAGAATTCATGCTCCTACTTGTACATAATGCACCACTTTGAATAGTTATGGAATATCATGAGAGGAATTAGTCGTAGCTTTGTCTCCTAGGATCGCGCTGAGAAAGTTGAGTACTTTTGAGTATCTTGAGTACCTAACATAATGTGATATTGAGAAAACAAAGAGAGGACCTAGAGTAAGTGATAGGAGGAATATCTTACGAAGGTCAATGCCTGTGATAAAGTCTAGATAGGTAGTCTGCTCAGCTATACAAACGTTATCATCTATTCCCCAACAGCACCTGAACCAAGGAACTACCTAGGTAGTTACCTCTAGCCTATTGAAAATATTGTAGTAGCAGTAGTGAACTCAGTAAGAAATGACGTTTTAATACCATAACAAGTATCAGATAGTAGTTAACTACGTAGTTTAGATAATATAGTTAATAACTAATAGGTAACTATAGTTTAATACTTAAAACATGAAGCTTTTGATAGAATCTGTTAGTGAACTAACCCAAGATCGACCCTCTTCTTAACCTCGCGCCAATAGTCGAGGCGTTTCGCTTCCCTAAACTTCTTACCCCATTTGACCATCACTAGGAAGACGCAGCAGATAGCTAACCCGATGAAAGCCACGCTGATGAAACAATTCTGATATCCTAAGTTGTCGAGCCAGGGCGTGATTCCGTACCCTATAGCGAAACTCATCGTGTTGCGAATGAGAATGCACGTAGTTAGCGCATCACCCGAGATATCTCGATACGTATCGATTAGGTACGAAACGCTGAGAGTAATGCCCATCGTGTTGGCAAACGCTGTAGTACACATGGCGACAATAAGACCGAACCAGTGCACCTGGTGGGCAGCCCCAACACCCCAGAGGATAAGTGAAGACGGGATCATCAACGTCGAAACGGAGAAGAGCCAGAGTCTGTGCTCAGGCTCTGAGACACCATTATTTTTACGCGCTAATCGAATGACGAAGCGATCTGAAAATACCCCCGTGAAAGCCGCGGCGGCAGAAACTCCTACCATGCAGGAGAGATAACTCAGACCGACAAGGGACGGGCGGAAATTATAAGGTGGTCCACCTAGGATGATAGAGCTCGTAGCGTTGAGAATATTAAAGTAGATGAGGTAAGTACCGTAGCTAAATCCAGAATAGAATACCACGGGCCACGACAAGAGTTTGAGAGATTGCCACGCACGGTAGTGCATCATGAACGGTCGCGGCTGATCCACGATAGACAATCTTTGCCAAAACGTCTTGGTCTCAGCTGATGGCCGGTCCTCTGAAGAAATAATCCGTCTAATGGCGTCGGACGGATCCATCGAGACTTCTTTGCCCTTCTCATCATCTGGGTTCGGCTCGAGTACTCCATTGCTAGATTCGGCGACGATGCCTATAGTACGTCGGTCGTAATTCGTTTCCTCCATGAAGAAGAATAGAAATAGCCAAGTGGCACCGCAAAAGATGGCCTGGAAGTAAAAAACCCACCGATAGCCAACACCGTCATTGATGAAGCCACAAATAATGGGGGCAAAAAAGTTACTGCCAGCCAACATGAATGCGTACCAACCCAAATACGTCCCCCTCTCGTGGGCGAAAAAGAGGTCCGCAATGCTGGTTTCAGGCAAAGCTTCGATAGGAGCTGCAAAGAAGCCCGTTAGAACTCGATTCGCGATCCACTGGCTGTTGCCGCGGGCATAGGGCCCCCAGACCGTGACAGCTGTGAGCGCGAGGAGGGAGACCAAGTACGTCAACCGCTTTCCAAATTGCAGCGCAAATGGCTGCCAAAAAAGCAGGCCCCAACCTAAGAGCAAAAACATATAGCCTGTCCCAGCATTAAGGTCCCCTGTGCTTACGGATAAGGCCGTAGAAAGAGGCACGAGTACCGAATAGACGACCGACAGTGCCATACCATTAAACCAGGTATACAGGAGAGCGCAAGTCAAGGCTAGGTACTTGCGTCGGGGAGCCCAATTCAACGGGTCATCGGGGTCTGCGGACGGGGTCGGCACGAGCACAATATCTCTCTGGTCCTTAGCATGTTGCGTCGCCATTGTGTGCTCAAGGTCGACTAGGTGGACCGTCCCGGGGACCAGCGACTCATCGAAATATCCGGGATTCGAAGCCGCCACGGATGGAGCCATCTTAAGCTCGTCGGGTTTACCGCAATGTCAATAACAGTAAAGCCGATACCAGTTAGAATGACCTGTCTACCTAAGTGGCTTTCAAGTTTCCGAGAAAGTGAATAAAACGGTAGATAGACGAGTGTAAATTTAGAGGTCTCACCTTTAAATACCGTGTACTTATAACAGAGAAATATAATAACACAACAAATGAAGTCTCATGCTTATCCCCCCGCACGCACGTTGAGGCACTCCTGGTACCGAGCACACCGAAGAGAAGCGTGGGATTCCGTTGTATTGGCAGCCATTCACGCCCCAGAACCAAAATTGGGAAAATCAGTTATCTGAACCCCTGCCGATCTGCAGTGAGGCGTTGTAACCAGGCCGTCGATATGTCCTGTTGAGAAAGATAAGCACAATTGCCTGAGGGTGTCGCACGACATTTTATGCTAGGTTTTAAGGTAAGTATTCTTTGTCAATTGATAAGAGCATCTGTTGACTGAATTTCCTAACTTAATTTAATATTGTAATAAACGGTATCGTTTTATAGCGAGGTTACCTGGAAGAGCTTTATCGTTACCTCGTACGTGTAGAAACATGATCAGTAAGTGTAATGTATGTTACGACCGAGTCAGTTGTGACATTGTACGCCTACTCCAATATGAACTAGTTCTACTGATAAGCTAATAGGAGTTGATCTACCCTTGCACGAGATTTATTCAAGCTTCGATCTTAGATGAATTAGAGTTAACATCTATGTCACCCTTAACGACTGTTCGAGTCATCTTATTCCCAGTTACCCCTCGAGGATTTCTTCAAAGGAATGATATCCTGGGTTCTTCTGTTTACACTTGGTACAGATAATAATAGTCTTCTCCGAGAGCTCTAGCAAGAAGTCCTTCATAGATGTGACGCTACCCGAGTATGACCAAGTATTGAATAATCTACCAGGCGGGCCCGACTGTGTACCAACCTCCGATCTCAAGAAGACGACTTGGTGCCTGTTGGCATTCCCCGTACAGTTCACGGTGTGGTGGCCTAAAAGGCTAATCTGAAGCTCCTCTAAGCTGGAATACGTAGACATCCCTCGGAATATTGATGTCCAGGCGTTAGTACCCCCGGGGTCATTATCAAGCTCATCGTCGCCTGGCAAAACTGATACCCCTATCATGCACAAGCATAGCTTTCGTAGAGAACTAGCAAGGTGCTGAATAATCTTGGAGAGGGAATCACTTGGTGCCGTCATATTTCCCAACTCCAGATCCCGTAAATCGTGGAATGTTTGAGAAAGCGTTATGCGATCGAAGCTTGCAGACAGACCGCCGTCCATGCGTAACCCTTTAGCCTTCTCGACTTGCTTCCCGGTTGGCAAGTCTATCAGTCGAGCCAACCATTCTATTACCCCATCCAGCAGAAAGCTTTTTCCCTTGGATATCACCCGAAGACTAACCAAGTTAGGTGTCTCCTCAAGCAGCGAGAATAGATAATGGGGTTGCCACTGCAGGAAACCTAGAGATCCGTGCGCAAAGCTGCCTAGCGATATGTAAGTGAAGCTCACGGAGAGGTTAAGAGACCGCAGGCTTTGTAAAGTAGGCCTAAGGGATTCAAGAAGAGACCTCGGGAACACAAAAGCTGAGCTAGATAATCCCATATCCTGTCTTTGTATGTCTACGCTGATGGCGTCCAGTCGCTTTCCGCTCCTCGCGACAGCCAACAGAGCAGCCGAGAATACCATGTCGGCAAACTGATCTTGTGAATGAAGGCGCGGTTCGTCGCTAAGAAAATCTACCCCTGTCTGCCGGCAGATTTCGGCAGTCCCGTAGCTGACAAGCTGCCGTCGTAATCCGGGGCGGAAATGTCCTCTCACGGCATTAGCATCCCGTAAGCTAAGTTCTACCACGTTTGCCAAATTTTCTAAAGCTTCGCCAAGCAACAGCTGCAATCGCCCGCTATTGACTAGCCAGTTCTGCTCTGCGGCAAGCTCCTCTAGTTTATAGGGCTCAATTCCGTTCTTTACATGGGGATTATCAGCATTTCCATTTCGATTCCCAAAGCTTGGCAAGGCATCGCTGCTATATAGTCGATCAAGCCCAATAGTCAGCCTTGACAAGCACCTTGACAGATGAGGGTGCTTCGATATATTCAATAGACATCTCAGGCTATCTGCGTATGCCAACAGTTGTCAACAAAGTATATGATAACATATAGAAAGGGTTATATAGGAGACCGCAAAGGGCAAAGAGGATCGTAATCCTTTATTATCTCCTCTAGAGACTACGTGCCGAATAAGGTAGGCGTGGAATACGTACTATGGCATGATTAATGACGATATCAGATAGGCTTAATAAAGGTACATAAGTTCCTATGGGATCACAAGGTATTCCTAGGTACTCACCATTCATTGACCATAAATCGTCTATCAGAAAAGAATTCGGCCGAGAAGGTTTCGAATAGGAACGTCTCGACGCGACGACATGTCAAACGTAGGCTAAACAAGTCGTCTAGGGGAAGATACGACGCAGTATGTACAACCAGCTCGCATGGAAGATACAAAAGCGGAGATCCGGATAAGTTGTATGTGACCTGCGTATCATTCATATCTATGAGGACAGTCTTGATTTAAACAGCCAGTTTTAGATAATAGATAGACCAGATGCTAGACGAGAAAATCATGAGAATACAGGAATATTGGAAGAATAGTTCATACTACAAGGGTCAGATAATAGAAACATGAGCAGTCAAGACTTACATCACCCATATACTCTCTTCCACGCTCTAGATTCAAGTGTTGGTTGATATTAGAGCCCTCGTTGCTCAACCACACACCTTAAAAGGCCATTTAAGATATCAAATCTAAGAAATTACGTGCGATGTTGGTTCTTAACTACCTAGGTACCTCCTAGCATGTAATATCACCATCGCTTGCCGACTTCATTGGTAATTTCAATATACGCATGTTACATGTGAGAGGTATAAACCGGCTTATCCACTTCGAGACGTGAAATATCCAACATTGGTTTATGTAAGTATACATCCCTTAGGTTAGTGGCTAATATGTTTACTTTTATAAGACGTCTTAATGGGTAGGTGCAGTCAATATATTAATATATGTATATTCCGACAGCTTGACATCGAGGCCGATATCTATAAGTGTAGGTATTTATTATGTCCACGGGCTAAACCTAGATATCCCAAATGCATGTTGACCTGATGTTCTATTCATATACTCTTAGGTACATAAGATCTCTTATAATAGCTACCCGAGGGAGCTCTGGAGATAGGTATCGAATCCGTAGAAACGTTTCCCTGGTTGCCTTGCTGTTGTTTGTACAAAATCCCTCTTTTCATATATAGTGCATTACGAATCCCTAAACCATACCCTTTTTGATTAATACTTAGACCAACCTTTAATGTAGAGATCCCCCTTATTGGCCATTAGAAAAGCAGGCGGACCAACACCCATAATCGAAACGTGGCTAACAAGTCAGCCTACCACACGACCCGTAGCGGCGGTTCAGCCGAAAGGATTTTCTCATAGAACACATAAAACATTGTCTAATAGGTAGCATTTTCAAAATTTTAGGCAAGCCGAGTAAATCATCTTATAGACAAGATTCGACTGATGTGGCATCTCTTACCTCCACCCAATCGCCCTAGTCATGTCGAGCCACGTCCGGGTCCTGTATACCTGGTCTCTCTCCTCCAAACTACAACTACACAGATACGGGAGCTGGCGAGATCTTGGTGCATGCATGTGCGTAATATAGACAAGATGCACGTCAAGCCATCCCTAAACTCCACCTACCAGGCCTAAGCCTAGTCACCCAGGATATACCCTTGCGAGAGAGGAGCGCATCGTGACATGGGTCACAGATCTGCATGCTACCACATACCAGGCTCAGTCAACTTCCGGTTCATTCCCTTTCGAGATGGACGGATCGGAGCACATTGACTGCATCGTATTAACCTAGCAATCTTTAGCCTTGTCCTTGATTTATTCATGTGTCATTAATCATTGATTATTACACTTGCATACTATCACTCTGAAATTTATCAGTACTAAAGGACATCGTTAACCGCCGAGATTCGGTATAGTATTGGGGTAATAGCTATGGCATCCACGAACTCGGAGAATTTAATTATGATTGACCTAGTAACTAACAAATACGGACGATGTTTGATTCCCCTAAATCCCGTAACTAAGCCGCATTTTCCGGAAATTAGAAATCCCCAGAGGGCCACAAGACAGGGAGGGTCAAGATCGAGAAGTTGATCATGAAGATTAAGAGAGATCCTTAGGACCACTATTCATGAATCTTCAGACTAAAATAAGCCCCTGTCGTTGTAAGGAGTAGCAATTCCTTGATAGTTTATCATTTAGTATCATAATTCCGTGGCCGGAGTGGATAATGTCCCTTAGGTACCTAAGGTAGGTTGTCCTTCTAGGAGCATGTTTTCGATAGCATTAAGCCTCCTCTATAATCGTAGTATATACCTAGGTAGGTACCTACCCAGTACCGCGAGTAGCCTGGTTTAGTTTACATCATCGGCCTATTACCGTTTCTTCAACAGGAGGACTTTCCTACTTCCAGCGAAACTCAATTCGACTACACCCTACTCCAAGCTATCTGCCCGAGATATCAATTCGTGAACTGGGTAATGAAGTAGGCATTTGTAGTAATAGCTAGAACTTGAGTAATCTGTCGATGTAAGAATATCCGTTTGGAGACGCAGTCGATATAGCTAGCCATTGCCGCCGTGCCTGGAATACGCGTTATATTACTCTCATGAGGGTTAATCTAAACGAGGCCTTATGGTATAAACTGGTGGTTACTTAAAATACGTATGTTGTATAGTCGAACCATACCGAACGGAAGAGAGCTAGATCAGTCGTTCTTCATTTTTTAGCCTCTGTCTAGTCGACGTAGAAGGTTGAGCACCTAAGGTATTCGAGTTAAATTATATCGCTCATCAGGTCTATAGGACTACTGGAGGTTAAAGATATCGATAGCCGGGAAGGATCGTTACCAGATATAACAGAACTCTAGACGCATAATAGCGAACTAGATGGTGACAATATTAGCCGGGTTTTAGTCCCAAGCCACGACCTTGATATTGATAATGTTGGCTCTAGTTCTTATACATTGGTACGCACCCCTTAACTGATCGATCTGTCTTTTGTCCGAAGTCCTCGTATGTTTCCGTGCCAACGCACGCACTCTCGCTAAAAGGCAAGATATACGCAAGTAAGCTATAGCAAATACCGTTATGTATCCCCAACGCACGCTGTCTATGTCCGATTTCCATCCACCCCCCAAATGTTGATAAAGATTAAGGAAAGGTACCCTTTCTCATATAGAACGAGACCGGACTAACTACCGGGATCCGGATACGAAGACATCATGTTCGGGTACGGTGCAGTCGATGCGCAATCGGGACAGACGCGTTCTGATGTGCAGCGATTATGTTTGTCGCAGTGCCATTCCGCGCTGGGCTTGCAGACGCGACACTCCTGGCAATGGTCCCAGAGATCGGTTGCTACCCAGCCACCTTGACAAAAACTATACCAGTAGCCGTAGAAATCGGTCTGGTTGCAGTTACCTAGGGCTCCACGGAGCAGCTCGAATTCCAGGCGCTCGCGCTCCTCACGGCTCTTCTTCCTCTTACCCCCACGGGTCCGCTTCCAACTATCCTCCCACTTCTTGAACGGCTCTGAGTATTCCTTGATAGTAGCCCACGACGTGTCGTCATACAACAGTATGTCTATTATCAGATCCACATCCAACTCCTCGACGTTCGGTTGGTTACAGAGCCAAGTGGCAAAGCATGCATTAGCACCGCAGGGTTTCGGAAACGTAGACAGCGGGCCGAAGAATTGCGTCAGGTCCGCAAAGGGGTTCGCACATGCGTCGCCGCACGAGCAAGTCGGAGTGCAACCAAGTCCATGCTTACTGCAGACACAAAACACGCACGCCTTCTTGTCTCCGCGTCCCGTCTTACAGGAGCACTTTTTAATTCGTTGACCGCCTCTAGATGACGCATCGATGGGTGGCGTGGGAACTGACTGTATGGACGATATAGACCCGTTTGGTGGATCGGGATTCGTGTAAACCTACAAGGCGTGGGGTTAGCATTCTACAATCCCTATATAGACCCTCTGGTAAATTTTCTTGCTGCTCCTTACATCTGTCGACTCGTCTGCAGTCTCGCCTTGCGCATCCTCTTCCTCGTCGTCATCCTCTTGCATGACATCGTCAGGAGTATGACCATTTCCGTTCTGGGTTGCGGAGGTCGATAGAGGAGCCGGACTTTGCAGATGTGCCGGGCTAAAGTGGGAATTCAAGGTAGAAGCGTCGGAATAGGAATTGGTACTGGCATGATACGACGTGGCGTGCGCGGTGGGTTGGGAAGTGTACGTCTCCCCATATTGTGATAGATGTTGTGGTATTGTGGACGTCGGAGGGTTAGTACGTTGTTGTTGGTTATAATTTGCGATGTGGTGATTTGTCGGTACAGGCGAATACGTTCCACCCGTGGCCGTCTGCGGTGACTGTCCCTGTAAGAGCGTCTGGGCCTGTGCTTGTGTTTGTGCCTGTACCTGTGTCTCGGCGAAGTTCCCATTCCGAATTCCATTAAAGTGTGTAGCATGAGACGTCATGTGGCCGTTTGTAGGTGGTTGAGAATAGTGAGTTGCGAAGGTATTAGCCTGCTGTTGGGGACTGTATGGACTGGCACCGTAACCTGTCGACGAGGTCTGGTATGCTCCGCCGTATCCGCCAGCCGAATTTGTCACCGCACCGGGAGAGTAGGGGTTGTAGGCAACAGTTTGGCGTGCGGTAGGTTGAAGGGAATAGCCGCCATTCTCGTAGCCCGTAGGCGAGTACAAGTTGATACCCTGACTGATTTGGTGATGTCGCAGGGCGGGAGCTGTAGTCTGCGGGTTGCCGTTGACGGAATCTCGCGACGTGTTGGATCGCTGTCGCTTGGCCGGTGGATACGACATTGCATCTTCGCTCGAACCTCTCCCCCTGCTTTCCTGTCGTCTTTCCCTCACACAGTCGCACCGGAGGGAACAGAGTAGGAAAGGGAGACAGGATAATGCACGGCCGAGTCAGGTTTGGTTTGGTTTGGTCTGATAGGGTAGAGCGGCAAGGCGGCAAAAAGGACAAAGCGGCACGGGATTTGTAACGCAAGATCAGATTTGAAGACTTGGAACTCTGAACTCTGAACTTTGAATACCCTAAGTACCTAAGGTAGATAAAGAGATACAATTTTTGAGGTAAAAGGAAAGTAGCAAGTAATTCTATTATTCTGTAATTTTTACTTGGTTTCGCAAATAAGTTGAGGTTAATAGTTTAGTTCAGATATTCAGGGTTCAGGCCAGAAATTCTTTGACGTCTAGATCGGCCAAAATTCCGCGTCTCTACTGTGGCGCATGGCCCGAGGAACGCGTTAGCGGTATTGTACCTGCCGTCCCTTACTAGCGGCCATTTAGCTGCTTACAGTACCTACCCGCTTACCCACCCAGGTATGTACCTAGAGTCTTTAGGTATACCTACATCTTGAGTACCTAACTGTACCTATGTAGCTGTAGAGTGCAGAGAATTGTGGCTGCCATGGATACTTTACTACCTTAGGTACCTTAGTTACTTCAAATTCTTGGCCACATGCACATAAGTACCTCAGGTATTAGGCGGGCATTGTGTAAGATATCCGGCAATAGCGTTCAGGGGCTAAGTCGCCTGCTGCATGTATTTTGCACCATGCACGGTCCCAATATCTCTAGCCGTTCACATGTCATATGTATCCTTCAAAACTTATATAGCAAAGCCAAAGCATAAAAGGAGGTAAGAATCAGTAAGAACTAACTAGGTACTTATTTTGTTACCTGAGGTACCTATATTGTTACCTATATTATTAATAGATTCGGCAATGCAAACCTTCGAAGCTTTATCATTAAATTCAACCTTATATTTTAACATCCGTTGGCTACATGTATTCGCAATTAGCAATTACCCAACAATCAGCAAGCCACATGCTTATAAACTCGAGCTATTCTTAGTACTGCTTCGGATTCATGCATACCTACCTGTCTTACATTCCTAAGATAATATCTCTCTTCAGGTAGCACTGTAATGTAGCCTCGTCACAATGTCCAAGACCCTTACATTATTAACAACACGAGGAAACTAGAGAAATAGTCTTCAAATATTCTTGTTCAATGTAGGCTTGTAGTCGATATCGTATCAGCTTAGCAATTTACAAGAATTTATGTACCCCTAGGGTTGTTTAACGGGTAGGTGCTATATCCCGTTAACGGTGCCTCGAATTGCTTATGATCTATAGCCACCGGATATTAAAGCTTCATAACACGATCAATTCGAGATTGACTAATATAAAAATGAGATGGGCGCGGTTCTTTACCGAGATAAAGCCTCGCTCGTACATATTGTCCTCCCAGGGAAAAATTCTTATAGTCTAGCGAATATTGTCAGGGTATCTAAGAATGCTTTGTAGTATCATTGGATACGAAACAAATAGTCTCGCTTGCTATTGTAGAGTTCGAAAATTGTTTGTTCTCTTGGTACTTTGCTGCTTAGTTTAGATAACAATGCTTCGATTATTATACATACCTACTATACTGTGGGCTGTGTAGTCGATATTGAATCTCTTAGTACAGCTTGTAGTCAAGTAAGTGGCGAGGGAAAAAAAATTAGGTGAACAAACATTAAAAGGTCGCGAAAAGAGCCAGCTAAAAGAAAAGTGCTAACTCTAAGAGACATAAAAAGCCGCTTAGTATCTTAGTTAAATGAAGTTTAATACCAAATTAGTTAAACTGGGCTGCAAAGGTGAAAGACGACAGTACACAATGTCTTTGTTGAATATCAAGGTTATTGTTGAAGGAACCTAATGGTTTATAACGGCGTACATGCCGGTAGATTGCATTCTCAGTCAGATTTCTAGCCATTAGAAAGTTTCCCAGTTTGCTATTAAGTTCCTACACAATCCTTCAACCCTCTGTAGGGACCACCTGTCGTTAACGAGTTGTACTCAAATATCCTCCCTGTTCATCCATATTTGAAGTTAGTCGAGATGTGCGAGAGTACTGTAGAAGACTATAGAAGATGCAAGAACCCGGTGCATAGTCGCCATACTAGATCCGTAGTGAAGAGGTGTTTAACCGCAAGACTCGGCTTGCAGGGTCAAGGCTACCATCCTACACGTATTACTAACAGCATCATGACAAAGAGTGGCCACCCGATCTCCCCTGTCATCAACGAGACTTGTCCCGTCTGTTATCCCGAGGAGGCCGCTAAAGAACAAGAGCAGAGGAAGAAAGATGCTCAGATGCTCGCCGCTTAAGAGAAGCGAGCGAAGGGAGAGTTTGCGGTAAATATGGGTGTGTATATCTGAAATAGGTTTAATTATGTGGTTTAAAGGGCAACATTCACATAGGTAATTCATATTGGTAATTTATATTGGTAATTCATATTGGTAATTCATGTAGGTACCTTGCCTAGGTAGATAATTTATTATTGTCAAGCAAATTGCCATATCTTATGTTTTACTACCCAATAACTTTTACGGTTTCTCTTGACACTCATAACACAGGTAATAAATTGACAGCCAACCTGGGATTCTACGCCTAACTCCAATCGCTCATCATCGCTTATACAAAAAACAATATAAAATCAGTAGATTAGCTGGTCATCATACGCTCGCACGCTTTCTAGATATGACTTGACATCGTTCCAATCTCGGCATACTTTTTAAACTATTAGTATTCGATATGGAATATGATAAAATGTATTGGGGCTTACCATGCTTAGAGTCCCAACCGTCGGAACCTCCATTGTGGTCCGGGAATGTTGTCTCGAGGCCTTCTAAGGCCATATCAGAACTGCACATAATGGCTTGTCTCATGTAGTCGAAGCAGTGGATCATATGCCAGTGATGGTCGCCTGGTACCTCGTGACCCGAGGTTAAGCCCGAGTACGTCTGAACAATGGCAAACTATCGTTGATAGATTAGTTAGATTTTGATTCTACAGCGTTTATAAGGGAATGGATGAGTTAGTAGGCAACTTACGAGACAGTGCAATTGATGCGTCGCCGACGTTGTAAAGACGGTCTTATCCGGCCACTCAATAGGTGTTGGAAGATCATGATAGTTTTGCGTATCATTCACCCATACGAACCCCATGCCCTCTATCCGATAGTTAGTAGAATTCCTGGAACCCGGAATCGTCGCGAATACTTACTTGGCATCAGGTCATTCCATCTTTGCAATACCTTATCCGTGAAAAACTCAGCCGTGTTATTCGGCGCGTAAGATTCATCTCTCTCAAATGTTGTGATTCTTTGAGAAACTAGAGTCTGTCAGATTTGATCAAGAGATTGCAGCTAGTAACCGAGTCAAGCTTACATCTAGGGCCAACTCCTGTTAGGTCTTGGCCGAACTGCCACGGGTTGACTTCTTTTTCTTCCGCTGCCGGCCGGCGCCACTGGTCTCGGATTAACAGCACCAGTATAATTAGCAGTAAACCCGTATCGATGATCCATCTCGCCGATTTAAAAGCCGTGACGAATCTGCCTAGTCTCCCCGTTCGTGTCGTCGGCCTATTTAGTTCTACGTCGTGCCACTGCTTCTCATCACCCATCAGAGAATCCTCGACTTCGGTGCTAGACCTCGAGTCATCGCGATCATCGACAGGCCGTAAGTTTGCGTACTTGGCTTTTTGAGATTCCATCGTGATCTACACAGGGGAATCGATTATTTACTGGTTTTATAGTAGGGTCGGTCGAAGCGAAGAGTGTATAAGAAAAAGAAAGTTGCAGATCATGGAGATCAGGACAAGACATTAGTTTTATGGGACAGTCAATAATCGAAACTAGATGGATACTCGCGTAACCCTATAACACATATATCATAACTGGTTGGTGTTGTAACCCTCGTTGTTTCGACCAAGTATGAGACGGTCCGGGGGGGACAGGGGGTAATATGTACGTATTAGCGCCTATTCGAGATTTATCGGCCTCGATACCTAGGTGAGAATTTAGTCCACAGAAATGGCGTTTCATAACAATAATAATACTTAGGTAGATAGCTTTGTATCAATTTAATAATTGACAAAGCGAGATTCTAATATCATGATGGAAGACAAAAAAAAAAACAAAGAGCTGAATCCATGTAAGTGTTAGGCACTCTACGTAGTTACTAATAGGTAAGTACCTGTCTACATGTGTATGTGGCTTGGGAGTTACGTTTCAAGATCCTAGTCTCCCTTTAGCAACACGACGTCGCGATTTCGATCGTATTTAGTCTCGTTACAGAGGCAGCGCCTAGCCGATCCAAGTTGCGGGGTGTCCGGAGATTGAACCATCTCTTCGGGATACGTCCTTAGATGAGTACTACCGTTAAATTGCGATATACTCGACTCAACTTGACTCGATTAACGCGATATAATCAATCCGCACTATGTTAAATCGTATATGAAGTACTCGAGACTAGCTACGGTTTTTAACGATGGGCCCCTATAGCCGTTGCCGTACGTTCTAGACTAGTTTCGCTACTCGTAGAAGTCGGGGGTGGGAGTTCTGGGGTCGTCGTAGTCTCTTCGGCTCGTCCTACGTCTCCGTCTTTTTCGAGCCCGTTTTCGACCGGCCATCGGAGATAACCTTTTCTATCTGCCTCCTGGATACTCTCCGTGAAGATGCGTCCCATCAGGTCATATCCATAGTCCGTCGGGTGCGTGCCGTCCGGTCCAATGTCTATAGCCTGAGGTCGGTTAGGGAAGCCTTCGCTGGGATGCATCTCGGCCAGCAAAACGGGCTTCGAACCAAACTTCTTGATGACATCTCGGTACTGCTTGTTGACATCAAGGATCTTGGGCTCGCAATCGGGAACTGTGTTGGTCAAGCAGGTGCTGAATATGACGGTAGCCCGCGTTGATGCCTTCAATAGGTAGTTGATAAAATCTTCCATATGCGTGCCGGCCTTATCAACATCCCGATTTTGTAGAACGTTATTTGTTCCCACTTGGATGAGAAACAAGTTGGGCTGTAGCTGGGGTACTATATGCGTGGCATGCTCGTGAATCTGGCTGATGCGGTTGCCACCATACGCCTCGAGATCGTTATCAAGCATTTCGCCGAAGCGTTGAGAGCCGACCATATTGACAGGGACACCAAGATCGACCAATTCGTCGCGCATCGTCTTGCGAAAGCCGACATCGCCAGTCGAGAATTCACCTCGAACTAGAGAGGCGCCGAGCGACATGATACGCAAGGGCGTGCCGTTAGCGATGCTGCTGGAATTGTTCGGTTTCCAATTGCCCGGCGCGGTCATGATGCCGTTGGCCGTAATGTTAATATCAATTGGTTGCTGATCATCATCGCTGCTATCTGACTTGGTACCTGTCTTGGTATCTGGCTTGGGTCGAAGTATGTGCGTGGCACCGAGAGCTGAGATGGAAAGGAGAAGTTAGAATATAGGACAAGTAGGTATTTGGATCTGCTATAATATAACTCACAGATCAATACGACAGATATAATAACCATTAAGGTTAAGGTGAAGATGACTCTCTTGGTGCGAAAGAAGGAGAGGCGTGATGACCAGGACCTCTTTTCGTCGTTGGCCATAATGAACGAGACGAATATTTATGCAAGCGTAAAGACATTGAGAAATCGAAAAAAAAAGCACAGGAAAATAATCAGTAGGCTAATGTTTGCTATAGTAATGACTGCCCGTTGATGTTGATGCTGATGCTGATGCCAATGCCTTGACATAGCCCCGCGGTAACCACCTAAGGTACATTCATTCCTTGGAATAAATCGACTTGATCGGCATGCCACCGAATGCCCAGACTGCCTAGAAAAAACGGTGCCGTTTACCGGTAAGCTGCATATCGGATCGGCATCGGTTATATACACGAAGATGTACTATAATGAAGATAAAAAAAGATTTAGAAGATAGCCGTTAAGATCTGTCTATTAAAATTCCCCCAATCCCGTGTTACTAATTCTAAGTTAACCCTAAGTTGTATTAAGGTATGCGTTACAGGTGACATAGATACATGCTACACTATTACATTGCTTGGGATTTTGCTCGCCGCCTATCCAGTCAACGTGTCCGGAGTAGAGTCCTACAGAATTGAATATTCAAGGCAAACATTACACAAGCGTCTGACATCAAGTAGAGAATTACTATCACGTCTTCTCAATAACAGCGATACCCTCATGGCTAAAGGCACGACCTAACTTTCTCACAAATACGTAAATGACATTTGTTGATTATGAATAGTGAATAAGACGTCTGCGATGCTTCGTCTATACAATAGCTCTTCTGCAGGAGACGGTAATACTTACCCAAACTATACCTTTTCCAACTCTATTACCATTGCCTCAACCATATATGTATAGCAATATAGAAGAAACCGTCATAATCATGACTTCACGGACCTTGATATATTTGAAAATACTTCGCTGTTCGACTTTGAGATGGCTAGTATAATGCGAGTAAAAGGTGTACTACAAGAAGTTGATGTACGGCGATGTCATTCACAAACCAGCGCATAGCGGAAGACTTCGGAATTTCGCCCAAAGCAGATGAGCTTTAGTTATGAGTAAGTGGTCGATAGATACTCGGACCTGTTGGCACATGAGAGACCTGCTCGACGTTAGCAACTGATACGAACGTTTCGAGGATAGCGGTGAGACTTATCCCTAAAACAGGGGGCTGCCCTCTACCTGTAGAGTAGAGGACAACCTAGGACTACCCTCCTTATTGGCCTGTCCTTACCAGCATCCAAAAAAAAAAATTTCCACACTGAGACTTCCCGCACCGACACTACTCGCTTCAGGGAACAGAGCCGGACAAGCGCTAAGCTTTGACTCCAACACGAGATGGGTCCCGATTCTGTCCCTATAGGGAGTGGCATCCGACGGGTTGTAGAATCACATGTGCCTCGCAACAGTTCCACGGAACCTACTTCCCACATGATTCCATACCATCATTGACAAAATCTACTGCTAAAACCGGCAGGTTGCATCAACCTCTCACACCAATCTCGATCTCAAGAAGTGCTCTTTCTGTTGAACGCATTGCCAACATGGACTGGTTTTTGATTCCTCCCCGACGAGCTCTAATAAGCAGCAAGGGGGGGCATTTCCGCACGACCAAAAGACATCCATAAAAGTCGCGCTGTCATCTCTCCTCAGTCCATATCTGGCAGAGGCGAGGGATATTCATCAACCGCCGCGAGAGCAGCTGACAAATAGGTTTGGCGTCCCCTATCGTCGTGGGACAAGACCCACGGGATGAGGTTAATGCGCCTGATCTCACCTCATATAATGACACATCAATGGCTGCTGCCGCGATGCGGTGCTGAGACTTGGGAAGGGCTAGAGCAGATGGAGTGGATGGATTCGTGACGGCTCAAACAGGGTCGGGTTTTACACCGACAACTGCAGATGGTCAGACTGCGACCAGAGGGGACAGGGTACTCGGAGCGTATGACACGGCGGTAAATGTATCGAAAGGCTCGGGAAAACCTTCTGTTGTAGCCACGTGGCCGTCGCTCACTTAGCTTAGTCACGAGACGGCAGCGTAAGTGATTCCGGCGAACGATACCAGCGACAAAATGAAATTATCCCGGATTTTCGACTGTATGTAGCCAGCGTCACGTTCTTCCCTATCATCCTCATCGGCACATAGCTGACCTAATAAAGTCAATGCTACATCTGATCAACAGCAGCAAGCTGTCAAGAAAACCATCTTCCATCGTCTCCGGCCCGCACAATAATCATCAGCACGGCGATGTAGACCAGAGTATAAATTCCAGCGGCACAGAGCTGACGAGCGACTCCGGACCAGGAGTACTTGGTAAGACTCATAGCAAAGGCACTTCGCGCACCCGAAAGCGACTGGAGTATCTGACCACCACCCTTCCACCCCTCGAAGTCCCGATCAGCCAACCCTACTTTTCAGCAGAGTATGACTTTCACAGGTGCAACGAGAAGCTTATAAAGCGGAATCTAGAAGGTTATGAGCGCAAGACTTGGAACCAAAAGGCAGTTAGGGTTAAGTTCCGAGACACCATTCCCTAGCAGTTGATCCGTTAGCCAGGTACGACGGGCTACCTTCATACGACAATCCTCACGCGGCAATGCTCATTAGGCCATACCCCGAGCAGCGACGTGTCGTATGAGGTGTTTTTGGATTCAACCGAGGGGTCGCGAAGACATTCCTTTCGAAAAATGGGAATCGGAGGACTGTAGGGGAGGCGTAGTGCGAGTTTTGTATGTGCTCAATCTTCTCCGCTAGGAAGAAGATATGAACGAAAGAGTTCTAACTTGAGGGAGATAAAATGCGATAGAGTAATGCAGCATGTATCTCGGGTTGAATATCAACAGTAGACTAGTCTCCGGTAAAGGATAGATGGAAGTTGGTGATGGATGCTATAGGAGTATGATGATTGGTGGAAGTAAAAGAAAGTAAATAAAGTGTAAGACGCGAGAATTTAAAAGGGTCGCGTCGTGTTGCTATTAGGTAATGTCATCTGACCCCGCTGTTAAAGTACCTATGTACTCAAAGTATCGCTAGTGGACATGTACCTATAACTCTATTCTTCATTCAACCCCACAAACGTCAACTGTTTCCACTCATTCACTTAACCAACTTAGTACATACCTAGGTACCTATATGAGGTAGGTAATCTATATCGACGTAGCTCATACATACCTCTTAGGTTAGATACATTTTATGTTCGATGTGGTCATGTCCGCTATACTAAATTTAAACGCCTTTGGATATACCGTCAAAGTTTATAAGTAAAGTAAACTTAATAAATACGAGCCAGGTTTCTCTAATCTTACGTCTGAAGAAATCTGTAAACTTCCTTGCCACGCCATCATGGATCGCCAAAAGAGTACGCTCGAATCCGCAATCGAGATGGCTGCTTTAAAGGCCTTTCAGCCTCAAAGCGACGGGGAATCTCGCTCAGAAGGTCAGCGGGAACTTAGCACCATCTTGTCGAGGTGGGTAGTCTGATATAACTTCATTTTTCTTCTCTAAACATCTGTTATAGATCCAATACCATGGCACTTATGTCTGCTCTAAGCAAGTTGACCCAACCTGATCGTGTTCCGGCATGGCTTCGAATCCATTTGATGGACGTGCTCACCTTGCTCCCCCAGCGACATGATGGCGTCCGGGCCACCTTGGAATTTGTCTTTTCTGTCCACCCTTCGAGTGCTGTAAACCCATCCGAGGCGGTCGTACCTCAGAAGCAAGGTGCAAATATCACCATGGAGGCTCTTAAACTTGCCTCTAATCTGCTGTCTACGCCACCCGCTACCATCCCGCCGGAGCAATGGTTTCCCGGAATCGCCCCCCAGCTCTTAGTTCTCCTCGACGGGAAAGACGGCGCAGATCTTGCGAAGGCGGCCGCTTATGTGATCGGTTTCGGAGTATTAGGGAGGAAGCAATTTGGGGCTCCTGGTACTACTCAGCAAGGGAAGCTCTTACAAAGTTGTATTCGCTAACGCTAAAATTCAGGAACACCTGGGTGGAAAGCCTTTGCCGAGCCAATGCTCTCCAGGATAAACCCTAGTCTATCGTCCGAGGAGCATACAAGAGAACCCCTCGTATTCAGTGCCGGCCCTGATGAGGTTGTTGACTTACGTAAAGAAGGTATCCTCGTCGAAGCGGTCGATCTGCGTAACGCGCTAAGACGCCTATCCTCTCTGCTGGACTCGCATCCGAATCCCGGCTTGACAAAGAGACTTCTTACTCCGTTGATGCTGCCGCTATGGACGTTATCGTCTTGGCCGCCTATGAGTAGTGAGTTTGACAAGCAGTATAGAAACCCGGCGAATGCTCTCCTAAAAATATATCTCAAAATTTCGGGCTCTCCGGAGAAGTTCCAAACGCTTCTTAGTAACCTTCTCGTAAACGGAAGTAGGAATACGTCCAAGCTCCAGTGGCTATTTGAGATGGTCGGCGATTCTGAAATTCAGGTAAAACGTCTACGGAGAGGCACAAATGACTCAGAAATCGAGTTGAGCCTAGGACTCTTGGAGTCTAAGTCGGATGCCTTTACAGAGCTCTTGCAGTCAGTCGGAACCGATTCGGATATATCTACACTATTCCTGAGCCTGCTACGAGATTCACTCGGTTCTACGGATACTACGCAAGAGATCAAATTAATCCCGGACGCAGGGAAACAGAAAGAACCGGCAGTACAGCTAATAGAGGCAAAGGTGCTGCAGAAAATGATGGAGAAGCTATCAGGCCAGCTAGTCTCGAGCTGGAAGCAAATGCTCGAACTCGTCGGCCAGATACTAGGAGGGTCCGAAACGTCATCGGCTACAGTCAACGATGACGCTACAGCTGTAGCGCTTAGCCTGCTGAATCTCGTAGTCACGGCTCCTGGCTTTCAGAAAAAAAATGTCCCCGCCGGTCTTCTCGCATCTATAGAGAATTCTCTCGAAAGAATAAGTAAATTACAGGCGGCCGACGTATCGCAAACGGCTCGAAACCTTTCTCTCCTGCTGAAGTACCGGGATGCTATAGAAGATCCGTCTGAACAGACAACAATGCCTACAGATCGCCAGGTTGAAGATCGCAAGACTTACAACTTAGCTATCTCCTATATCACACAGTCGGACTCACCTCCGCCGGTGCGCACGGAGGGTCTAAATCTGCTGTCTAGCCTGATACGAGCCAGTAGCCCCATTCTTGATATTCAAGCCACTCTGGTCCTCCTCTCATCTCTACTGAATGAAGATGATGACTATGTCAATTTGACCGTGGTAAAGCTATTTACTCAGCTAGCCGACCGGCATCCCCGCTCAACCATCAAGGAGATCCTGGAACATTACGTCGACGCTAACGAATTAGATACTACTGACACTCGTCTCCGGTTCGGCGAGGCATTGCTCCAAGTAGTCCAGCGCCTTGGAGAGACCTTTTCGGGCGAAACGGCACGGCAAGTAGGTGAAGCGCTCCTCGCGATCGCGGGACGGCGCGCTCAACGTCCCAAAGCCAAAGCAAAACAAGATCGCCAAGAGCGGCTCGAGCAGATGAAGAACAAGGCCGCGCAGGATGCTTGGCAGGGTGAGGTACCCGATCTTAGCGAACTCGACGACGAGCAGACGGAAGATGAGAAAGCGCGCAACGGGTTCATCGCGCAGATCGTGTCCGGTTGGGAGAGCAAGCGCGGAGCCGAGGACGTGCGTATGCGTGCCTCGGCGCTGTCCGTGTTCTCGGTTGCTATAGAGACCAACGTCGCCGGGCTAGGTGCTCCTCTCGTCGAGGCATCTGTTGATCTATGTCTTAACGTTCTTGCCCTCGAAACAGGCCCAGAGACTGGTATACTTCGCCGGTCTGCTATTATACTCATCTTGCATTTCGTACGGGCGCTCGCAGATGCACGCGAGAGCGGCAAACGTCTTGGCTTCGGGTTAACTGACCCGAGCCGGCAGGATATCGCGCGCGTGCTAGAGTACGTAGCTCAGACGGACAACGATGGATTGGTACAGCAACATGCGAGAGACGTTGTAGAGAGCCTACATAATTGGCAATTAAGCACTTTGGTATCACCTGCTGCAGAGGCCCGGAACGACCAGGGTACTACTACGCTGACTCGGCTAGCTGGGCTGGATATAGGGGCTGCTCCAAGCTTGCCTTCCTTGGAGCCGAAGGCGAGGCCTAAGATTGAAGAGATCGACTAGCTAGGTACCTTGATTTGTCTGCACTGGTATTTTATGATCATTATGCACTAAGCACCAAGCATCACAAGTATATAGCTGATATTCCATATTCACCTCGCCTCTTCGTTCGCTCTGACAGGCAGGCATTTACATGCTGAAAATAGAATGATACCTAAATTTGAGATAATCTTAGTATATTCTGTCGAATTCCGGACGTGGGTCATTTTTGCCGGAGCTCTATCAGATATGGGTATAATCACTCTAACTATAGCTAAATGCTGCAACCAATCTCTTGCACCGCCAGGATTCTGGATGACATGGTAAAAAAAATACCCAGCTTTTTCTAACCCTAATATTTTCTTCGTATTCCATCTCCTATCTACTCGCTCTCTAACTCCTTCGGCCACAGTAGCTCTTTATTCCAGAGACACCGTAACATGGAAATAAAGACAAGCGCCCAGACGACGATTAGGACGGCGGCCATTGCACAGCCGGTGATACGAAGTCCAGTACTACCAAGGGCAGCTGCTAGCGCCAACGTAGCAGTTACGAGGGCTGTGTTTGGAAAGACGAAGGACCACCAGGTCATCTGAAAAGGCATCTTGCGTTCGGGGCGTACGTATTTCAGAAGGGAGCCGACCGAAACCAGGAAAAACCAGACGCTGAGGCCCCAAAGCCACAACCCGACGATGGTCGAGAGCAGTCGCAGGATCACGACGCTGTGGGTCGAGCCCTGAAAGTTGTCCGGGATAACGACGTTGGATTGCTGGCCAAGGGAGACTACCTGTGTGTTAGTCCGAGTGCTTTGGTATATCATAACTGGATAGCGGAATGACATGTAAATAGAAAGTCCTACCTAATCCTGCTACTGTGAAGCCGCTAGGTCCGATTGAAATAAACTAGATAGTTACATGAGTATCAGCCTTTCTCAAGAGATATCATTCATTAGAACTCACAACACCCGGCCGTTGCATATCTCTCGGTAACTTCTGAGTCATAAGTCGATAGATAAACGCAGCGCATATCATGAAGCTAATGAGAAACCCAGTCCCTTGCACCGCTATTGCGCACATCGCGATCGCTAACCTATCGACCGGCGGGTTATCCGAAGCGGCCGTATTTGCTGCTATGAGCGTACTGGCAAACGGGGCGGTCAGGAGAAGGGGATAAGCTGGGAAAACCCAGACAGGCGTCATGGTGTGGATAGGAAAGATCCTGCAAGGGAGTGCGATATGTTAGGGACAACCAGATGCTTCAGAGGCCGAGCCTACTAACTGAGTAGACCATAAGATCAGGTACATGCCAGCGCTCGCCACCACACTGACAACGATATAGATCCAGAATAGCCATTCCATCACGCGCTGCAACCAGGGGCCGGTCATGGGGATTCCGTATTCGCAGGTGTTGATTAATATGGTGGCTGTACTGCGTTCGTAGTCGGTAAGCGCACGGGAGACTCATACGACTGCGTACTACTTACGAGACTACCTATTTATCGAGTGATATATGAGCTCCACACCGACGAGGAGACTACGAATGAAGCTTACCACGGCTGGGATAAAGAGAGACTCCACCTGGTCTAGGAACGAGTGCAGGCAACTTCCGGGGACCATAATAAACCTCATCGTAATTAAGACGCAGTTCATGATGAAGAGACATATATTAAAGAGAAAAAAGACGAGTCCAATATACCAGAGCCAGTCGGCGCGGTACGGGGTCCATACGGAGTGGAGGACGTTGGCGACGCCACCGGTTGCCTATATTGACAATTCGTTAAACATATAGGAAACCGAGAGATGAGACCACGAGGACGTGCGGGTATAGGTATTTTTAACAGCTCAGCTTACCATAGTCTAAATCGGCGTTAACGGCTAAGAAGCAAATACTTGGGAGTCTTATATAAAAAACGTACCATCGTGAACCAAGTCCATTGATGACAACATATTCGATCCCGAATTCCAATCTTCTTCCCGCCTCTTGACTTCCTGGCGTTGGAGATCATCCTAGCTAGGCTATCAGCGTTAGGCGGGGCACGGAGAGGAACCGGGGGTGGCCTCTTCTCTCGACGATCCCGATCCCGATCCCGATTCGACAGCGACAGAACCGGCGAAGAGGTGCCTCGGTTAAAATAGTCTTCGCTAGGGGTCACATAACCGTTGATGGCTACTTCAACATCGACTTGGGTATTTAAAACTCGGGACATTTTAACATGCAAAATTCATCGGGAGTCCGGGCAAAAAGCCTAGAGATTATGTAGATGGCGATGAGTATGACAGGTTCGACGTGAGCTAATGCCGAATGAAAGTTGACAAGGGTTGTTATGAATACCACGAGGTGTAGGACGACGGAGCCGACATTGGATATAGACATAATCCGGTCCGGTAAGAGACGTAATGTCTAAAATAATGTCTAAGAAAGAATACGAACGGGAGACTCTAGAGGAGGGGGGATATGGTATTCAATAACGAGTTTAGAACGAGCGCTAATCTTTGCTGTGTTGTCCGCGTTGGAAATGGAGAGGTGCAGGTCGATGCTACATAAGACTTGGATCTTTGCCGGATCAGGATCCAGCTTTTTTTTTTTTGTCTTTTCTTGTCTTTTATAAATGTAGTTTGGTGAGAATGTGGATTATTTGATCCGTTTGACTATAGACCATTATATATTTATAAGGTCAAGAGATAGAGCGGTATACTCGAAAAGCAACTTGAAAAGCCATTTGTTTGTTTCAATTTTCAATGTCGTGTAAATACAGATTCCTTCGTACCCCTTCGTATCCCCTGTAGTTATTCTTAAAGTTCTTTATCTTTATTATCTTTATCTTATCGCACATTATATTGCTACATGTAGACTGCCCAAAAGCGAAATATAGCCCCGCATAGATTCTTTGAGCTAATACTCAAGTATGACGGCATAGCACATAAGCGTCTTCTATTACTTCTATGCACTAGATAAATAGTGTAAATTCGTTTCACAACGACGTCGATAAACGAGGCTAATTAGTGTACCCAAGGTACTTACCTAGGTAGGCAGGTACCTAAACATATGTAGGTAGTGGAACCTTCCAGCCTGTAACGGTCCAAGGCGTCGGGTTGGGGTAATGACTTCTTGTAATTCGGTCCTAGACAAGTCAGTCTTGTCAATCCTACCTCACTGTATTCTTTCCCCAAAACCTCAAACCTCATCCCATCTAATCCCAACAAATAAGCCTGCATATAATATTTAATAACTCTCATACGATAGATATTCTTCCTATTGGTGTTAATCCTAACACTACCTAGCATACTACCTAGCTAAAAACATTGTCAGCGTCTGAGAAATAATCCTTGTTCAAGTTTTTGCCAATTGGTATCTCAACTTGATACCTTAAACCTCTTAGGTCTACACAGTATTGCTTCTAACCTCTTTCGAATCCTGCCTTGCCTTGTCTTATTATTTATAGCTATCACCAAGACTGGGTTGGGCATGCCTAGTCCCTTATCATTTGGACGTTTCTCTACTCCGGACTTCGGAGCTTCTCGATCAATTCCTACATCTTCTAAATCTTTACCTCTCGATCTGATGGGTACATCGCACGTCTTATAGGCCTCATTATAACAAGTAAAACCCCCGCTCGCTCTACCAGTATTTCTACGTCGGGATGGGACTTAGTCGCGGTCGTCCGAAGCGGTGGTCTCTAAATGATACCTATGGTCAGTCAGATATTCTAGGGTCTTGCATATTTCAATCTTAAGCTTCTGCCAGAGTTCCAGGCTAGCTAACATATCCTTCGAGTAGGCTTCATCGCAACATTCTTCGATGCTCAGACGCGGACATATGCGCATCAAGCGGTTGTAAGGTGCACGGCAGCGCAACGACCTTCTGGCTCGGTACCGGCACCACAAAGTACGAATGTTACTTCGTCCCGCGTCGAATCACGAGTTCAAAAGACCGCGCCTCATGGCAACGTCCAGCGTAGCTTTCATACGTATTTTGTCACGCACCTCCCGTCCTCCTCGCTACATCCGGACTCTCGCGCCCCAGCTGGTCCTCACCACAAGCTACCTCGATCTGCCGCCGCGCCTCACACGGCAGTTTCCGGTGCAGCCCCCGTGTCTCCGCCTCACTTGCCATCCAACCGCGACTTGACCGTCGTGCGCATTCCCCTGCGCAGCGCTAAGCACCACTTCGGAGTTGCAGATTCAAGAGGATCCAGGCCATACAATGAAGACACGAATCAGGCTGGCACCATCGACATCCCCGCGTTCGCAAAGCGGGCCCCTATTAGCCTCGTCCGCAGCACCATGAACAAGATGGGAGAAGGAACTTCAGCCGACAGCCCCTACGGAGATCCCCAAATCTTCTACTTTGGCGTTTTTGACGGTCACGGAGGCACCCAGTGCAGTGATTTCCTACGGGATGAGCTCCACGGATATATCGAGGAGGCAGCCGAAGAGTTCGAGCTGAAAAGCAGCCTTCGGGCGGTGCGGAAGGGTCATAGGTCAGATTCAGAATCTCTCAGCGCGCCAACTCCAATCTTATCAGACAGCGAAGCTGGCGGACAGAAGAGACTCGACCGGCTGGATATCAAGGGTTCAGAGGCCGTATCGGCTAAGGCAGACATACCAGAAATAGACAAGCGCGGCGCGATTCGTGAAGTCGAAAACTCGGACGCCATAGAGGGTGTTCAGCCCGTGCCAGCTAGAGCATCGGGATCAAAGGCCCTGCAACTACAAAGCGAGCTGGTAAAGGAATATAAGAATACGGTTGGCGGGTATTTCCGGCGCTTCCACCCCCCTTACTTTCAACTAAAACGGGATCCTGATTCCCCCGAACCACCTGTTAGCGTCGAGTCTGTTCTCACGTACGCGTTTCTCCGTGCAGATCTCGACTTCATCGCCGCTCAAGCCCGCAAGCCCGACCCTGACGATCCCTACGTGGCCGATACGGCTCTAAATTTTGACGAGGTGCTAGGAAAGCCGCACCATCTGCCACCTTCAGGCCAGGGCATCGGCGGCCGTACAAGATTTAAAGGGGGCTCGACAGCTTCGGTCGCTCTCATCTCTACACCAACGCCTGCTCCGTTCTGGCACCCGGCTGCGAGTTCCACCCTATTAGTCGGGCACGTGGGTGATACGCGCATCCTGCTATGCGAGACTGCTACCGGGTTATCTCGTCCTTTAACTTCAGATCATCACCCAAGCTCTCCAAGCGAGTCGCACCGGCTGCGACGGTTTGCGGCATCATTCGTGACGGATTCATTCGGCGAAGAGCGGATTCAGGGACTTGCCAACTCTCGGGCATTTGGTGACATGGCATCCAAGCGTCTAGGCGTCTCGGCCGAGCCGGAGATCACGCGAACGGAGCTGGGGCCGGCTCAGTACAGCTTCATCGTTCTCATGTCCGACGGCGTGTCGGGAACGTTGAGCGATCAAGAGATCGTGGACGTAGTAAAGGAAGCGAAGACGCCGGAGCAGGGTGCTAGGGACGTTGTGGCGTATGCCACCGAAGCCAGCAGCGACGGCGATAACGCAACATGCCTCGTGGTTAGGCTCGGTGGATGGGAGCGTAGAAGCGAGGGGGGTTTGGGAAGCCTAGGCACTAAGGAGATCCGGGACTTTAGACGTAACGAGGCCATGGATCCGCGGCGGGGAATAAGGTAGACGAGATATCTCTTGGAGTATAAGCGAGACCTCTTTTACTCTCGTGCCCGCACGAAAAGAAGGAAAATCGCATATTACATCAAGCTACGTCGAGCGTTACTCGTACGAATTAATAAAACCATGGGCTACCGCCTAGTTGTAGCGCTTTTTTAAACTTGGTGTATTATGTGGATGTTGCGATTTGACCTATTAATCAAACTTGAGAATCCCAAACCTTAGGGTTTAACTTTGCTAAAAGCTTCATGGCAGGTTGTAATTTTACTATTATTTCCCATTGCTTTTAAAGCCGTGCTGGAATAATATACGTGCTATGCTATTAGTATTAAATTTGGGGAACATTTTTTGTCTTTACCGTCTCACTGCGCGTCTAGTCTATATGAAAAGTAGATTTGAGTGCATTATACTCTTGATAGGTAACTACGAGAATCCAGTAGTCATAAGGGTACATGTGCCTTGAGGGGTTGGTTGTCTTAAGCACGACTAAAATATAGGTAAGCCAGTATTAACACGTTTTACACAAGACGAAGCGTACACACCCGACCAAAACGTGGCACACGTAGGAATGCCTATCTGTCTATATGAGAACTCCCACGTCCGCTCCGCGCTACTAGACATAGCAGAGGATATGCTACCCTATTGATTCCCAATCTCTCCCCCTGAACGCCTGGTGCATCTGTGAAAATCCCCGCTGGCATAATTAACGCGTAGCTCCTTTTCATCAACGTCAAGGTGGTCATATTGACTAAGTCTCTCACGGATTCGCCTACGTCTTTAGACAACAGGTCTCGTATACTTGAGTCGCTTGAAAACAATACAATCAAGTTATAGAGGTGTACTACCGCGAGATACCTAGGGCATCCATACGCTTACATGATGTCATCTCAAACTGGTCGGCAATCTTCATCTTGTCTGGATCCGGGAAGAACCACCCTTGCGCCTTGTCGATTAGGTCGCGTTTGGTGCGCATCTCAGTATCGCAGCGGCGGCGGAGGACGCGCACGAAACCGACCTCGGCCTCTTTATCTAACTGACGAAATTGGTAGTCGTTCCAGTCAACCACCTGAGCTGGATTTACATAGTAATCGACTCCAAGTTTGGGGGTAGTTCGGTGGTAAGTTAGAGGCGGCACAGCCGCGTCGAAAACCATCGAGGGTACTGCCGGTTGCGTTTCGCCGCCTGAAAATATAGACGATAGCAGCGGGAACACAAATAAAAATAGGATCGGTAACAGGCTGATGAGCGTATCCCAACCTGTCTGACGCCGCTGCTGACCTTCAGCTTCCCGAGGTCTCCTACGCGGATTTGCTCCTCCCATCTGGTGTACGCGGAAGCCCCTGTTTCCGCCGATGTTAAATACAAACTGCGGTCCTGTATCGAACCCTAGTCTGCGTTAGATCTCTCTCCTCTCCGTTCGCATCCTTCGAAAGAGAAGGATAGAAGGTGGGTAACTCACCTCCGAAAGGACCACCAAAAGCACCACCGAAGAATCTCTGGAACATTTCCTCCGGGCTAATCTCGTCTTCCCACATGCCTCCCCCGCCAAATCCTGCCCCCGGCCCTCCACCAGGTCTCATACCACCAAAATTATTAAATGGATTGCTAGCCTGGGCCCTCGCGCTCTCAAACCTACTATCCGGATCGGTACCGAAGCGGTCGTACTTTTCGCGCTTCTCCTTGTCGCCTAGCACGCCGAAGGCACGGCTGACCATCTTGAAAGCCTCGTCTGCATGTTCGTGACCGTTCTTGTCCGGGTGCGTGAGTAGGGACTGCTTGCGGTAAGCCTTCTTGATATCGGCATCGCTGCACGTCGTCCGTACGGCCTCGAGATCTAAGATGTCGTAGAAGGAGGTCGCCTTGCACCGCCGGATTCGCAGGACCGCTGCTTTCTGCTCGGGAGTACACTTGCGTTCCTGGTTTCCTTGGTTATGATCTCGCGACCGGGTCGGTCCGCCCGAGGCGTCGAAGCCGGAAGAGGTTGCGCTGGGCATGACCGAGCGATATCGTACTCGGAACGACGGATACGGAGAGACGGGTAATAATAATCGCGACTACGTGTATAATATTGCTTGGCAATTCGACTTGGGCTTAGGTGGTCTAAATGAAGCGAGGACGGATGAAAATAGAAGACGCTCTATCGTGAAGGAAACAAATGACGAATGACGAATAATGAATAACGAACAGATGTACCAAACGAAAACCTATTGACGAATAAAAAAAGGTTCTACAAAGGTAGCGCAAAATCTAGGAGGCGAAACTTGACCAAGCCCAATTAGAGGAACGTAGGCGGTCGAAGTTGTCGTCGAATTAAAAATCGAGGCTAGAAAATGGGAGACGAGAACTCGTAAGTTCAAAAGTTCAAAAGTTCTACGATTCTCTCTCAAGGCTTTAGAATCTAAAGTGCTTAGGTTAAAGGTTACCTAACAAAATTGATTAGGTGATAGGTGATAGAAGTACCTCTATTAAAACATATGTGGCTTCAAAAGGTCTAGAACACGTTTGTTGTGGCTGGTAGTTACATGCTGACATGTAACTGATAACTCTTACTATCCTAATCACCCCACTATAATTCAAGTCTCTATCCAATAGAATAATAAGAATTTATATCTGACCGAGCCTCAATATCGTCATTGATGTCAAGCTTTATCTCTATTGAATTTTAATCTAGTATTGAGAATTTCTAAACACTAAATAAAAAAAAAACCCCAAAAAACCAAATAAGGGGAACTTTTTAAAATATCAAGCTAATACTACGGTTTCTAAATCATGGCAACACTAGAGCCATCTAGATCTATAAGATCGCGCCTTGAAGCATGGGGAAGTACGTATTCTCTCTCCTAACATTACTACCATCTGTTTCGTGAACATATAACTAGCTGTCTATGTAGGTAGCTAATACGCACGGTAGATTCTCCATTCGCCCCTACAGGTCTCGCGACCTTAATAACGGCCATGCACTTTCGCCCACTACAAATTCGACCAATGCTTTTCGTACCTATCCTATTCTTTTCTAGTTATGCAAATCTCCAAGGCTTCAAAATCGATAGCGCAGGCATCAATGCTGCTGCTAGCGGCACGTACGCCCTACTCGCCATGAGAAGGCGACCTGGCACATTTATAAATCGCTTCTCTATCAAGGGGTTGGTTAGGGGCTCTGCCGTTGGTATAGGAATCATCAACACTATTGCTGCGGGGTGGGTATATGGCACAGGCGATCGAGAGAAGGAGAAAGCCGAGAGGACAGATAACCCGCGTTGGGTCGAGTAGAAGGGCGAGTTGGGATTCTAGCGTGAATGAAAAGCGTTAAAGAAAGAAATGAAAAACATGATACTGTACGAATATCTCATAGGAGGGTCTAGAGATCACTTGTACATATATCTACCTGTACGTGTATAAAGCTAGATTGGGCGTATCACAGAATACAAGGTCACACATTAGTAAAGCTCTTCGAATCGTGTAATGAAGTATAGTTCTGAATGCGATTGTATTAATTAATATTTATGACACTCCTTTAACATTTCTGTCTAATTGATCCTAGTTGCAATCAGGCGTCTCCAATTCTATTATTTAGATCCTGGCGAACTGTTGAAACCACGAACCCTTGGGACAAAAGAAAATAAATCAAAGATGCGACGGAGTTGTCCGTCGGAACCAACCCTTAATCGAACGCCAGGAGACACCTCAGCTCTTGATCGTCTCCTAAACCGGCCACCGGTAAAGCCCTCCCCTGTATCACAAACCCGCGGAAATGCCATCAATTTTTTTTTCTCAACGCCTCATATGGTGTAGCTTTTACCCCAAATCTCTGCTCTCCTCTTCCCTCCACTCTCCCCTCTATCCTGAGCATAATACTCTAACTCTATACGAAATCTGTTTAATCTCATTGGGGCTTATCTATTTTAATTTTGCCTCTTCGGACATACGTGGAGATATAACCTTCTATACCATCCTATCATAGAAGCGGCGCCATCGATAGTTATGTCGTTGTGAGTATTAGGAGCCTGGCGCCCGAGTACATCCAAACCGACAAGGTAAAGGATGCCAGCATCACCATGCCATAAAACGTCCGCACAATGTACGGCGCCCCGGTCAACCTAGGTACAACTCTCGGAATATCGGCTATTTTAAAGTTGGTAATGTATTTGACGTCCGTCTCTCTAATCTTCGGCTCTGCATATTTGCTATATTCTCGAATGATGCTGGCCGTGTCCCACTCTTTAGTCTTGCGCAGGATACCGACAACGCATCCTGTCCGGTGCTTGCCCTGATTGCAATGGATGAGCAGAGGATAATTTTCCCGATTGCTGACGATGGAGATGATCGACTGCATGGTCTTGATGGGGATCTCTGCCTTTTTCGTGCCTGCCATGTCGAATATTTGATGTTTGATACGGTTCGCATCAATAAACTGCTGATAGCCATCGGGGAGATCTTTTCCGACTAGGGTAACAATGGTCTTAAGCTTGAGAGTCTGAATGAACGGATAATCCGTAGACTTTGGGTAACCGCTTCGATATAAGCCAGGAAGAACCATGGCAAAGTTGACGGGCGGAGCGCCAGAAAAGAGTAGTGGTCGTTCAACAGCTATGTCCTTTGCGGAAATATATGCTTCCCGAAGAACAACATCAGGAGACTCCGTACTAACCCCCATCACGTGAGGTGATTCGAGTTTCTCGTCGCTATAAGTTACGTCTTTACGATCTTGCAAGGACTCCGAGTCCTCGCTGCGATCCTGGCTTCGCCAAGATAGCATGTCTTCCATGCGCCTAGGCTGATGGTGTATTCTGCAAGGGAAGCGAGGCGCGGCGGTTGATTCCGAATTGTCCGGTCAATACCCTACTTCGTAGGCGGAGAAGCGAAGTATTGAAGAAGTAAGATTGGGGGGGAGTGCGTATTTCGTATTTCAAGTGAAGATGCTGATAGGAAGATGAGTTGGAAGATGTCGTCCGGTCCGGCAGACGCCAGATCAAAGAGAATCGAGAGTACCGGTCATATTGGCAAGACGTAGTATCAATCTCATCTTGTCAGCGAAAATAAGTGATAGTAAGTGAATACTGGGACCAGGAGATGAGATACCACAGCTGGTAAGCAATAGGTATTTGAAGATGTAAAGTTAAAAAGGAGGTTAAGAAGTGAGTTGACAACGGTTGGAAAAGGGTTTGGATTTTTGGATTTTTTTTTGGACGGAACGGCGAACCAGGCTATTGTCCTCGATGGCTCGCCCTTTTAATAAAGTCTGCATCTATACATACACTATGTACGTTAGGGCAGGCTCGAACGGTAGGGGTATTTCTGGTTTACATTTTAGTGGAGCTTCGCCTTAGTTCTGCACGTAGCTAAGTCTATCCTTTACAAGGTATTAGCGGCTCGCACATAGGTACACGTACCCACCCCAGCTCAAGTACTTCTGCAACCGCCTTACTTTGGGTTAGTCGTCACGTATCGTTCGATTTTTAGTACTAGTATGCAGCCGGCAAGTATCAGAAGTTACATTCATAAAAGCATGGAAGCCTTGCGTCTTTGTGTCTTTGCGTCCTTTAGGTATGGTAGGTCGCCTTAGAAACATGTACATTGGTACATATATCAATAAAGATTTTAATTGCTCGTGATCAACAGTCTAACCGCATAGCTTGAGTAAATTTAAAACGTTTAGGAGTTTAGTTTAGAGTAAAAAAAAAAAAGAGAGAACTCAATAGAAATATGTTACAATCTAATAAGTCATGTCGCTTTCATTCCAGAGACTTCCGTACAACACCAGCGCATATTGACCTAATATTTGAGTCGTGTGGTGATGATGTACGGGGTAATGTACAGTAATACTTGGAAACCTACGTACTATGTACGTATCGTACTGGGGTAGCGGGCGGTGAGGTGCCTGGGGAACGCCTCGGCAGAATGACGCAGAAAGATGGAGAATTGGGAAACGCTATAACTAAAAAGGTTTAGCTTCCTACCAGCCCGCTATTTATAATCTCGCTCACGGCGGGATTAACAGCGGGGATAGGTATTCCGGTTCCGTACCGGTTTCATCTCAGATCTTTTCCTAGGACCGAACCCCGACACAATATGTACATACATACATAGTAGGTATGTGACATAACCCACCTCATAATGACCGCCAATACCCCCCGTACCAAGGCGTACATCAATCTTTCTCCTCTCTACTATTGAAGTCTTGTCGAGATGAGACATAGCATTGGCGTATCCCAAGATGACAAGATGAAACAGATAACTTGTATCAATTCCATTGCCGAATAGAAGTCAGCGAGGACCTTTCTTTTCTTTTACCTTTTATTTTTCTCTTTTCTTCCTCTTTTTTTTCTTCTCTTCTCTTTTTACCTGCAATTCTACCATTGGTTTTGTTTCTGTTTTATCAGAGTTATAAACCCAATATGGTCCAGTTTAGCTCAAGTTGAACTTGACAAGTGAAATTTATGGTGTTTATATGCACAGAGAATCTTTGCGACCTCGCTCCTTATATAACTCTCAAAGTTCTTGCTTGATGTGCCTGACTCTCAAGGTCGGTTTATACGTGCTTGAATCAGTACCGAGCCTGACGGAAATGTCATTCTCACCGCAAAGCTTACCTCGAGTAAGTCAATCCGTCTCACCTGCTTCGTTGGTACCAAAACATCTCCGAAGACGGAATCTTGAGATAGGTATGCCAACCAGCTGCACGCCTTTTGTTACCGTTCCATACGAGAAAAACAAGCATCTCCGTCAATAAGTGAGCTCATAGCGCGTATCATCGTGTTCACGTGATATGCATCTTAGACTTCATTTCTTTCCGTGTGACTCCCCTTCTGCGGTGAGACTATCAGATCATTACGGCCAGGCCGGCATTCTTACGTATGACGCAGGTACTGTACCTCATCAGTACGTAGGGTTATACAGCTTCGCAGTCTATCACGTACCTATATCTATCTACCTGCTTACTCAGTCTCTCATACATACCTGGTTGCCGGTTCGGAGCGTAAGCCATCAGCCATCAGCCCTACCCGTTCCAATCTTGTAAGAACCAATTCAACTGCCATCGTCGTTAGTAACGTCCTCTATAAGGTATTCCCACTCTTCAACCTCATTCGCTACTACTATCCTACATGGTGGTCAGACGATTTGATATAGGTCACCGCTAGATTCTCTTTCGCAATTACTGCTTAATTTCTATAATGGAACGTTGTCATACGACTTGATGTATCTGATACATAATCGGAAATGATGACAGAATAAGGAACTTTGGTCTATGGAATATGGACGCCAACCCTATGCTCGCCCTCTCCGTGCCCCATTTTAATGATATTGACGCCGAGAGAAGTGTAAGAAAACAAAGGAGACGTAATCGGATCGTTCAACGCCTCGGCGTAGGCCTTTGGAATCCCGCTGCTTTTCGTTCGAAGACCGTTTCGCTCATCGGTCGAGCTGGGACCCCCTCGAGGGCCTCATCGATAAGCGTTGCGACGTCTCGTGCGCAGCCAAACGAAAGACTCCAGCCCGCGCCTCCGTGCCCGTAGGAATGAACGATGCGGCTACCCGTCCTGCGGAGTTCACGCTCGACCCTTACGTTCTGGCCTCTGAAGGGACGCAGACCTTGCGCGAACGGATATTCGGGATCTACCCTGGCATTTTCTAACCCGGGGAGGAATCTCTCGCATCTCTCTCGCATCCTACGGATGATAGGAGTGTTTAGAGTGAGGTCTAAATCCCACTCATGCGGCTCGGTTATGCCGCCGATCACTGCCGTCTAAGTTAGCAACCCTAGTCATACGCATCTCGGCCGAATAGGAGTCAGATGCTTACGAAGAATGTTGTCGTTTCTAGGTACGAGGAAGATGATCTCATTAGCGGAATGAGCCGCGTCTGCGGTAATGGTTAAGGCCGCGTCCACTTTCGGGAAGTCCGTGCCGTCGTTAATCACTCGGATGAGACCACCCCTGATAGGATACACGCTCTCGTCGCCGGCGAGCTCTTGAGCCTGAAGGCCAGTGCAGTTAACGATGGCGTCAGCTTCGAACCGAGATCGCAGCGTGTCTTCGATTTCTACCAGATCGTGTCGGATCGTTTCAGTGACAAGATTAGCTCCTTTGCTCTCGACAAGCTCTGTCAGCCAAACCATGGCCTTATCAGTATCGATCACGGGCGCCAGAAGCTCGTACGCGTCAACCGCTCCGTACGACGGGTCGATTCCTCGCTCGTCTATGATGTCGGCCCCTCGATAGAACCCCCTCACGCCGCTGGCCATGATTTCTGTCATCTTGGAGACTTGAGCCTTATCGCTCTCCACGGGCTCCGGAAAGAAGAAATCCGATGGCATCATACGCACACCGGAGGCTTCGCTCAGGGCCGGGATGGAAGCAATCCCATCCCATATGTGGTACGCCGTCATAGACCAATGCTTAGAGTGCGCCAGCGAGATCTTGTCCGTGTGCTGACCGCATACGGCCGGCGGGAACTCCCAAAGGGCGCCTGCAATCTGCGACGTCAGGCGCTGCTCATCGTTCACCCACGCGCTGCTGACGATAGTAACGCGGTATCCTTTATCAAGCAGTACCCAAGCCCTTAGGACCCAAGAGTCAGCATCGTAACCTACAGATTTCATCAGAAACCAGGCATCGATCGACTTACGATATTAACCCAGTGACACCGCCACCAATGATTAGAACGTGCGGAGACTTGCTGGACGGCTGCCGGAGCGGCTGGCCCATAGGGGAGATATCTTTCCAGAGAGTGAGAGTCATCTTGCAGAGGTCTCTTTTGGTTAAAGCGATAGCTATATAGTAGGAGCGCGTGCTTTGTTTTGTGGTGAGGGAAGACGGAATAGGCGTCTCGGTCTCAAAGAGATTTAGTTGAAAGATAAGTGTCTAAGAAGACTTGTGTTTGTGTCGTGTGTGGTCGAGTTATCACAGAATTCATGGCTGGAGTCTTCTTTATATATGACTTTCTCACTTATTATCCTATACCCCTCGCATGCACTGCCTCGGCGAAACTCCATACGCAGAAGTTCTCGAAGCTTAGTCCGCTTCAGAGAATCTATTTCCATATCTTGCGCAGGTTTCCTACATTACACTTAATGCAGAGCTATACTAAGCACAGTTCTTGGAAACAGAAGACGGCCCGCTAGATTACGCAAGGTGCTGACAAGATCACCGATGATAGACCACGAGGGATGCGTATCAAGAGTTAGAGGCAACCCTCGCAGGACACAGCTGTCCATACAATCGAGGGCGGGCAATTATTCCGCTGATCCGAAGCACCTGAAAGAAGGACCTGCCTCGTAGGGCTGTGTAAGTTGACGAAATAGTTTCTCGTCAGCCCGCTAATGGTTTCCTCCTGCAAGCTGTGACTCTTGCATCTGAAGGCGCATATCCCCATTGAGCAACAAGGGGTGCTTCCGCCTTGTACCGTTTCACGGATTTGCCTATCAAAATGGGAAGACGCATCTAGCATCAAGTCGGGCTGCCAGACTGAAACGAGCTTGCATGTATCACCACCACCGCAAAACGAGACGAACCGATCTTGAAATTGACCCGATCGGGCGCTTTGGTGAATCCACACTCATTGTACGATAAACAACGCCTCACATTTCCCCATCCGAAGGATCAACGCGATGGTGCAATGCTTGCTTGCTAGATGCGGAAGCGAGGTCTTCACAGCGAGGCTGGCTCGGCAAGATGTTCTGCTGGGCGCAAGAGAAGGAGACAAGCCCCTAGGGACTTTGCCGACGTCTTCAAGAGGCGCTCAGCGATCCCGACGTTCTGGAAACTACCCCAGCTGTGCTGCTGTGCTGCTGTTCCCCATAGGACTACCTTCACGTCATCTTCGTCATCGGCGCTTGCTGGTGCAATCCACTTTTGACATCTCGCGTAAACTTTACCGTATAACTGGCGTCTCATCGAAATAAGGCGGCTTTCGAGGCGGTGAATATGTTTACACGGCAGCAGGATCGACCAACCGCATCTGCCATAACGTCCCTAAGCAGCACGCACGTTGCGACCTGTCAGTAAATACCCGTTGTGTAGTCATCCCATCATGCATAAAATCAGCTCACTTAAGCAGTAAGAAATATGTCAGGCACCGCCTATGGCTGGAAGGAATGGCGGCGTCGAGCAATTTCGGACTCGGTTACACAGTCGTACATCCAACATGATGGCGCGATCCCCCCCCTGCAACTCCCAGCGTACCTGTTACCGCTACAGCTACCGGAGAACTAACTCGGTCGTGTTATGACTCGGCGACCACCCCGAAATGGTGGTTAGGGGCAGACTCGTGCAACGCAGATCGTCCCGAGAGCCTTGTCAAGAAACTAACAAGGTCGCCGGATGGTACCGGTCGAGGCCACTGTCGTGCGAGGGCAAGACTAGGCTACAAGACCGAGGCCACCGCCATTTATGCAGCTGAATCAATAACAGGATCGTCGTCGTGACTGTTTTGGTTCTAGTTGCTAGCTGCGTGCAACCCCTCGGTCCGGATTAGTAACTCATCCACACTCTTTTGGGTTGACATCGCGACAGCTGGAGGTTTTCTCGCGCGGCTTATGCATCCTGCAGACAGAGCCTCTTACATTGGTCGTTACCGAAACGGCGGACCACTGCTGCACCGCAGAAAATCGAGAATGGAGGGTCGCTAAGATGTGGCAGCCCCGAACATATAGAGCCATCGGTCGGCACATCAGCTGGGGTCCACCGAGAGCCTCATTTCCCCCAGCCAATACCAAGACTTTTAAGGCGAGCAGGTCATCAAAGGCGTGATCACAACTCCGTAGGTTATTCCCCACAGATATAGCTCATAAGTGGCTATGTCGACTTTCCTATTTTGTAATTTTTAACCGCTTAGATTCTAGATTGGATCATATCTAAATTGCACTTTTATAACATTGGTAGATTTCCTCGAGGGCAGTAAAAATTCTATTGCCAGGATGATTATATGATTTGAGAGTAACTCCTAGGTTAGGTACCTAAGGTGAGGTACATACAGGTAGATATACCTATACATAAGCTACTTGTAGGTTCATACATAATAGATACTAGAGATCCTACAGATCCTCATTTATGACCATCTACCATTGACGCTAAGATCGCCTTACCAGGCCTATCTCTTACATTATCGCCTGCCTAATCTAGATTCTGATTTATAAATTCCGATTTATAGATTCTGATTTTGTCATTGTCGAGCTTTACCAAGAATTACCTAGCTACGCATTGTACGCTGCTAGAGAGCGGTCGACAAATGTTATTCAGCTGAACTCGTAGCCAATCTATAAGGTTCAGCACTGATATGCTCAACACGACGCGTGGCGAATTCTCCAGACCAGATATTTAGTTGACATTTGAATAGCCTTTAATAATTTGTTCTACGTGAGACAAGGCAAATAAAATTTCCGACCAGTCGAAATTCCAAGCCTTACCTCGCCTATTTCTCCGCCAAATAATCCTATAAAACGCGCCTCAACGCTCTAAGATTGGACTTATTTCGGATAGATCATCCGTAATACATAACTAATAGATAACTAATAGCCTACGAGCCTTTGCCTGATACATTCTATACTTGCGATTGTAAAGTACTAAAGTAGAAGATTGTAAACGTATTGTACTATTATAGATTTTTAATGAGACTCGTTACCCGAAAGATTCAAACACCTCTACTACCTGTAAGTATTTAAACTTGGTTCCCTACGGTTTGGCAGCAACTTGAAATCGCAACTGTCATTTCTATGAATATAGCCCGATTAGGAAACCCGCCGAGTTGTTATTCCCGCAGTAACCGCAGTAACGTTGTGTCGTCTCCCGAGAGCCTCAGCTAAAACCATCTCCGGACATAGGGCTGCACTTGCATACTCGACGGTTATTAAAGGTCGAGTCATATTTGCATGTCATAAGACATAAGGTAGCATATATACATGGGTACTTATTCAGCGAGGTACCTAACCTTATTACTTATAGGTACCTAACTACCTAACACTTACATACAATACCCCTCAGCTAGCCACCTAATAACGGTCAGTATGACTTCATCGACGCAGTAGCGGCCATGCCGGGTAAGGGATAACGATAACTTGATTGGATGATGATGTTGCGATTTAAGGCTTAGCTTTCCAGGTGACAGGTTCTTTCAGCTCACGTCGGCATCGTTCCCGAAATCAATTTCCTATCACACTAGGTTAAAACTCCCTCTAAATTCTTACATCGGCATTGTGCAATATTTTGTAACAATAATTTTGTACCTATCAGAATTACCCCGCCATCTCTTCTCTCAAGTTCTTCCACACATCATCGTACGTCTCTATCATCATTTATCCAATTGTCGGAAACACATCTTATTCGTTAAGGGAAATAGAGAGAATTTAGTCACTAGGCCGGCACGCGCCATGGCTTCATATCACTTCGGCTCAGGCAGCCTGCTGCTTATCATGGCCGTCATCCTGATCGCGATGCCCGGTAGAGCTGATGCTTTCGGCGCCGGTAACATCCCCTCCATCGCTCAGGTAGAAGGTCACAATTGGCGCCACGGCGATATCGAGGATACTCTCAAGACGATCGCTTTCCTTCACGGGAAGAAGTGGACCACGCTAATGGTTCAGCGCACATATTTCGGGAATTGGCTCCGCGACTACTCCCAGGCCATCGACGTCGGAAGCTTGAAAGGAGTCAACGCCGCCACCATCCGTATTCTCGTCTGGGTCCTGTCATTCCTAGCTAACGGTTATGCTACCGAGGAGTTCGAAGTTACGGAAGAGCGCCTCGGCGTTTACCGTCCAGAAGAACATATCGATAACCCTCTCGGATACGCCGACGGCTTGGACGCCAGGACTTTCGATAAGCGGCTGAGAGGACCTGTCATTCCTGTCGAGACGGAGATCGACCCGCGCACCGGAATGAAGAACTACATCGCCAACGAGCAAGGAAGTTGGGCAACCAGCGCCGGTTACCTCCGATTTAGCTTCGGTCGGAGCGTTCACTTTGGTAGACTGTACAACCACGGCTCTCACGGTAAAGGGAAGGAAGAGGACCTATGCGAAGCCTTGAGATGCCTAGGCCAGGCGCTTCACTGCATGGAGGACTTTAGCGCCCATAGCAACTACTGCGAGCTGGCCCTCCGCGAACTCGGCTACCACGAGGTCTTTCCTCATTGCGGATCGAGCTCCGAGATTAACCTACGCGGAAAACGAGTCTTTCCCTTAGTGACGGGTACCTTTGGCGGCGTCGACTTTTTACACTCCGTACTAGGAGAAGCCAACGACCACTTTACGCAATCCGAGGTCGACCAGCTGGATGTTGCTTTGAAGAACTCGGAGCAGTCTTCCGGGCCGTCGGGAGGTAGCGGTACACGGGGATTCGGGGGTGGATTCGGCGCGGGCGATTTTATCTCTCTCGTCGGCCAGTTACCCGGCGTCGGAGGCGGAATGGCTTCGGAGGCGCGCAATTTGAAGAGGATGGCCGATGATCAAGAGAGGCGGATCGAGCAGCAAACGTACTCTGGCACGCGATCTAACCAAAATGTCGTCCCCGGAATGAGTGAGAACTTCGACCCCGTCAAGGTTTCCAAGCAGATTTACCCCATCTTAGAATTCCGCGACAAGATCGTAAAGTCGATCAACAGAGGTATCGCTAAAATTCCAGGTTTGGAGAGTCTTCTCGAACACATCAGCGAGACTCTCACCGCGTTTGTCCTCGGTCTGCTAGCTCCGTTCGTCAGGCCTATAATAAACGCCGTCACCAAAGCGCTGAAAGACGGCTCTTCCGGCGTCATCAGCGCCAGCGCCAACTCGCAGCTGGAGCCGTGGAAGAATCCTCATTGCACCGACCCAACCCACTCTATGCTCTCTAAGGACCATTTCACAAACGTTCTAAACCCGTGCGCCGGAAGAATCGCCGCAACGATCCTGCAATATGTCGTTCCGTAAGTATACTCTCGAAACTCATCAGTACCTTAGTAAATATGGAAAACAAGTTAATAAAATGTCTAGGCGAGTTCTCTACGCTTGGGACAATCCTGGTGTGCCGGTAGATGAAGTCGTCAGCGACGTCTTACGCGCTTTCCATCACCCGGCGCTTAGAGATGAGCGCGTCGAGATCCAGCGCGAGATGTTTAATACCGTACGCAAGTGGGCTGACGAGCACCCGCGCCGTCACGATCTCAACCGCGTGCTAGGCTCCGAATCCGTACGGAACGGTAAGAACCACGTCTTATCGGGACAGAAGGGTCACTCTCACGGTGGTGGTATCTTCGACGGGGGACTCATGGAGCAGCTGGGTCACGGCAAACCTTCCGGTTCGCTCTGGTCGCAATGCGCCACGAGAGATCTCAACGCCATGGGTGCAGGGGAGACGCTGCGCCCTGAATCTGGTTACGGATCGAGTCGCCCGACGTCTTCTCATTCTCAAGGACATCCGGCACCGAGCCCGGGTTACGGCTATTCACCACACCAGCCTCCTCAGCAGGGTTACGGCGGCCAGCCTCCACTTCAGCATCAGGGTTACGGCCAACAAAATTATCCTCAGCAGAGCTACGGAGCACCGCCTCAGGGTGAAGCCGCCTCATATTATGGCGCTTCACAGCCGTCACAAGGTTACCCCGATCAAGGATACGGAGCACCACCGCCCCCGCAAGGATATTCGTCTTACGGACAGCAGCAATGGGGAGGTGGGTATGGGAATCCTCCCTATCGCTAAGGCATGAATGCATCTGGACGATCATGGTCAGGGACGGCGTTAGTGAACATCTAAGGTAATGATGGTAATGATTAGCGAGTTTCCAGATGGAGATTCCCAGTAATAGATTTTGAGGCGGCAACCTAAGTCTCGCCAGCTTTTCCTGACTCATTACAATAATCTTTCACTTCGATGTGTCGTAACTTGTACTTGAGGCTAACCCCTAGGTAACACAAAAGCCTAAGGTTTACACCGCGCCATACCTGATATTTATCAGGTATTATAGCTTTGGCAATAGGATATATTAAACTATCAATTTCCCCCTTTCACGGAAGTACTGTAGTTATACATCTTATATACCTATTCCTAGTAGATCTACTGTTAAATCTACACTTAAATCATTTATACCCTAATAGAATTCTACCTCCCTTGTCGTTTATTTATTTTTCTTCCTACTTCTTGTAAGACAGGAAAAGTTTGCATAAGGTAATAAAGCATATATTTCGAATAGGAAATCTTTACTCGTATTTGACACAACTGGAGGGCATCCCAGATGGTAATGTCGGTCGGCAAGGTATGTGATTGGTGGTGTATACCCAATAAGGAAATAAACACAAAGACAAGGAAACAGGGAAATGAGGCTATCGCGAAACTGATGATGTATTAAATATCTTCAATATCCTCAAAATCTTTACCTAATACTCAGCATTTAATACTTAACACCTAAAAGAAAGACTCGGCACCCTTACCCTTAATACCATTACCTACCTAAAAGGAGGACTCGCCACCTAAGAAAAAGGCTTGGAAGCCTTTACTCTTAACAACTTTAAAACCTTCACCTACAATACCCTTAATACAGTTTAACACTTCTATCTAACACTCGATACTTCTACCTCCAATATACTCAACACCCTTACCCACAGCTCAGCACTCAAGAGAAAGGTTCAGTATCTTTACTCTCGATATTTTTATCCTCAACACCTTTGCTTATCTAAAAGGAAGACTTATTATCCTCACTTATAAGGGAAAATGTCACGGTCAAGAGTCAGGCATCTTGATCTATCATGTATTTATTGACCTTTTGGTCTCAGGATAGAAAAATCCAGAAATAAAAAGATACATATTTCGAGAAAAAAATAGAAATACAAGCATGGTAAAATCTATCTACATTTAAAAAACATACCTAATGAAAAACTATAAAAGGCCACACATAAACGAACTTCCTATTTTAAAAAATGATTTTTATAATAATAACCTTTATAAATTCGGTATATCTCAAAGTAAATCTTAACTATTAATTATTCTCGTATATTTCCGGAATAGAACCGATTACACTTCATAGTGGGGTAGAATGACATTAACATCTAAATATCTTGATATGTCTCGGCCCAATATCGATCGCAGTTTACATACCTCTGAAATAATCACTGGGCTGAAGTTATAAAGTCATGTCAAGTAAATATGAGAAACATGAGAATATTTGGAGACTAAAATCGTAGAGTTCTTATTTTCAAGTTATTTCTCCCTTAATAAAGGACCTCTCTTAAATGGTTCTATAACTTCAAAATACAAAGCCGGTGGAAGCTCGTCTTGATTCCAGTAAGCCGTCCCGTATCTCAACCAATGTGCGTAGGTCCCCGGCACGTCGTCCGAGCCCTCGTGATCTCTCCACAGCGATCCTAGCGTATATTTAAATACCCTTATTATCAAACCGTGCGCGAGCTTGAACCCGAAGCTCCTCTGCAGGCAAGCCTCTACAATCTCTCGCGCCTGTTTCTGCTCGGGGCTTTCTACTTCGTCGCGCTTCGGGAGAGGGAGCGACATGAGATGGAACGCCTTCTTCCCATCCCAACTGGTAACTTCGTTGATCAGCTGAGATCCTTCCATATAATCAATGGCGTATATATGTTTCGCAGCGTATTGCGGCCCGTCCCATCCGTCCTCGTCGTCAACCAAGCCCATGACCATCGACGTAGCCTGGCCCTGGGCGATATAGTCGCTTAACATCTTCTGCAACTCGTCGGACCCAATAACCTTTCCATCTTCCACAATCGTAGAGGAGCTGCTCATAAGAGGGACACCTTTAAGCAGCGGGCTGGCATGCATCCCGTCGGTGCTCGTCTTCCCGCCGTCTTCGGCCCACAGAGCAAGAAATAGCCGGTGACACCTATCAAAAAATGGATTTCCCGGGCGCGACGCAAGAAAATAGTTGGCTAAGCCACCGTTCACGTTATACGAAAGTACCTCAAAGGGAGAGTTAGGATTGGCGACAGTTTCATTCCACAGCCTATCCAGATCCCCGATCTGCATTAGACCAACGTCCGCATACACGCCGCCGTACCGAAGTAGCAGCGGCCACCGCACGAGATCCGACACGTGCTGCATAGCGTAACGACCGCCGATGGTAGATTCGGTAAATGCTCGCGGGAATGTGTGCGGGTCCGAGACGTCAAGGAAATTAGCCACGTTAGAAAGGGAGCCCGACGCGCGGTCAAGAACCCGCACCGTCCAGCCGCGCTTCGACAGGCGCCGATGCCAGGCGCGCACGTTTCGTTTTGTGTACGGATGCATCGTCTCGTAGCCCGTATACCAGAAGAACCAGACATTCTTCTCGCTCGAGACGGGCCTCGGATGCATGATATCATTGTCGAGTTCATCATCGGGTCGCGTGTCTAAGAATTCGAGCGGGACAGCATGGACGCCTAGCGGTAAGGGATAGTCTGGCAAATCCTTCATATCGTTTTCAGTTCGTGATACGGTATTAGAAGATGTGGTATTTGAAACTGCTGGTGTCATCTAAGGAGTTTTATTTTTGAACCTCTATATGAGTATCTATGTTTTGAATGAAAGAGCCTATTTTAGAATATCTATTACCACCGGTAAACAGCGACGGTCTTTGGCCGTATTTATATTCGACGATATACCTGCCATCGTGGTAATTCTTTCCATCCGCAAGAGGCTAGCTGATGTGAGAATCAGTAGTGTCAGAAGCGTCGTAGGTTCTGATTGTTATTGACTCAGTATGACCGTCATGCACGTGACCGCGCTAAAATTTAACTACATGTACATTTGACAGGTACCTGACTAAGCTGTCTTCCCCTGAATCTTCCCCTAACTCACTTATTACCTGACAGGTTAATCGGTGTAGAGGAATTTGTCAAACTCATTCTATTCCGTCTTCCGTATATTCGGATTCTATTTTTGGCTCTCTCCCTTCTTCTGGGTATCTAAGTTAGCTAGCTTTTCCTCTCGCCAATACCATAAACCTGCCCACGTAGCACCTGGGCCGACGAGAAATTGGCCAGCTACTACGGCCAGGCCAGCTTTGATTGCCTCCGTAGTCTTGATATATCCGAGGCGGCGTAGATCCCAGATCGAGTACAGATTGCCGCTTAAGAAGGACGCAACCGCGACTGCCATATCGTACCTGAAAAATGTGGCTACCTCTGCGAAGACGTCTGGTAAGTTCCAAGAAGAAGAAAAGGGATTCGGAAGACCAAAGAAAGTCTTGGCGATTGAGATACCCGGATGCATCCAGGCGTACGAGAGGGTGGCGATGTGGGCTGTAGCTTGCACGGTAAAAGCGTACGTATAGACCGATTTAAGAATAGGTACGTCCTTTTTCTCGTAGCAGTCATACTTATGCTCCTCTTCGTATTCTGCTACGGACTTGTTGCCGCGTTGCCACCTTTCGAGGCCTGCGGAGAAGACGTTGGTTAAGATATTGAACAAGGGCGGCGCGAACTGCCATAATGCTAGCAGATTCTGCCAACCTTTCATGCTAGGAACGGGTACGAAGACGAAGATAGTCGGAATTACAAAGCCGAGCGTGACAGCAGGAATCAAAGACTTGGCTACGCTTACGGGTATAGAGCGGCCGGTTGGTAGTTCGTGTGTGAAAAAGCTGCTTAGAATGGTGTGCGCCGGGCTGATGCGACCGATGCCTAGAAGCTGCATTCCAACCGAATACGCCGACGGCAGGGCGAGAGGGGTTACTTGATTCCCCACACGGTACCCTTCGACGCAGTAGACGAGGAGCGGAGATATGAGCTGGGAAAGAAAGTTTACTAGATGTAACCTGGTGGAAGGGTCTCTATCTAGCATCGGTATCGCCAGGACCGATACGTACATGTTCAGCGCTTTTGACATGTTATTCTCGCCAAACCATCGTATCACGATAGGAGCATTAGCTACCCAGTCCTCGATCGCGGTAAACGGAAGTCGCCAAGCCTTTGTGGTGACGAGTAAGGCAAGACTCATAGCGCCAACCAAGGCACCTCGAACGAAGAAGGAATTCTTGCTTAAAGGGATCGCTGGCAGCTCGTCGCGGTAAGGAATCGCTCGGGCTCGCTCGGGAACAGGGAGCGCTTTCACCATCGCAGCATCAGTATAAACATGTACATTTCGACTCAGCTGACCCTCCTTGCCAGTCAAAGGCACTAGGCAACTGAAGATTAACGAAGACAATAGCGAATTTTCGTGAGCGTTAAGGGCTTGGTGCTGATGAGATAGATCGACAACCATCTGTGCCCGCTGCTGCCTGGAGTTTTGGGTCTCCTGGAAGATCTGCTCGGTTTCCCGATTCGATAGACCGTCGAGAGTTCCACCCCGATCGTCTCTCTTACGTAGCAACGCGTTGATGAGTTCCGCGCAGGACTCGATAGCACCGTTAGCGCCCTGACCGCCGATCGGATTAGGCTGGCAACGTAGTTAGATTAATAAAGCTAGGATAGTAGACGAAAATGAATACTCGATTCTAATGAGCCGACATACCTTGTGAACAGAGTCTCCCAGTATTACGATTCTATCGAAGAACCATTTCTTATAAACGAACTCGTGCAGCGGTGTTAGAGTTGACGAGAGACGCTTGCTATATACTTGACCAAGCGTGACTTTCTCAGTAATGTGTACGTTGAAATTATGCTTGATAAAGTCTGCCTCGTCTTCCTTGGTATAATTGGGTATATCCTTGCCATACTTTATCTCCGGTAGCTTGTCGAACAGGAACCAGTAGACACGGTCTTCGGGTCCTGAAACAACGAGCTGAGACTGTCGTCGGCCAAGCACGATATGCTGTTCGCCTTTTATCCAACCCGGCACGTGCTGGGCGATACCAAAGCTACACCTGTAATAGCAAGGAATGCCGTCCTGCTCTTTCAGATCGAACGAGCCCGGCCGGATCTTATTGCCAAGGGCAATCATAGTAGATCGGACAGCGCTGTGGACACCATCCGCACCGACGAGGAGAGTGCCATCGTATACAGAGCCATCCGCGCACGTAACTCTAACGCCCTCATCTGTTAAACTGGCGGTAGCAAATTTCTTATTCAACAGCACTTGGTCTTTATTCTCGAGATGATCATATAAGATTTGTAAGAGCCTCTGTCTATCGAAGAAGAGCAATCCGTAACTGTGTCTGCAATAATTATTAGGGTTTATCTGCCGGTGTCATATGTCTCGGGATACGTACCGCCGTTCAAAATGGCCCCTCATATTATAGAGGATGGAGAGGGCCTTGCCGTTCCTATCTCGTAGGTACGACCTTTTGTAGAGATCCTCGCCTTCGAATACCTCGAGGATCTGCTCATAGCATCCTATCTGGTCGAGGATTCGTAGACCATTGGGAAATAAACCTATACTAGCACCCACCTGGGGTGCGATCTCCGAGTGAGATTCTAAAAGGGTATAGTTTAAGCCAAATTTCTCCAACATATTAGCAAGAGTTAGGCCGGCAATGCCGCCGCCGGCGATTATAACTTTGAACTCCCTGTCCGGCTTCATGGTCACATTCAAGGTTTAGAGAATGTCAAGTGTCAGGTTGCGTCCGTTAGAGTTTGGAAACTGGCCATACCTGCAACCTATATAAACCTGACCACCTAACGGGGAATAAAAGGGCTCCGTGGACCAGGGTCTTGTAGCTCTCGGACCAACGAGATTTCCGAGTCGGAGGCACGGCCAATCTATCTTAAAAAAACATCATTTATTATCCCGCCAACAACCTTGGGTTCGCGTTCCGAAGCTGAAGAGGAGCGTAGTATTAATGGGCGGAGCATTTTAATTTAATTCGGCTTATAAGTGATATCAAAAGACAGCTCAGTGCGACACGTTCGCAATTGGCCTTAGCATGGTGAAATCTATTGAAGGTTGTGGAAACCAACGTCATTATTCAATCTTCAAGCCCCGAAATCAGATCCCGAGGTGCGGGAGGTACCATCTTTGGCTGTGCTGGGAAATAATTGGAGCAACATACGATTCTAGAACGAATTGAGCTAAAAGCGATCTCATACCAAGATCCAATCAACAAGGTCTACCATAATATATATCATCTTCGCACTTCGGATGATACCCCGGTAAGCCCGGGAGCCGATAATGTTAACTTTCGGGGTCCGGAGAACCGACTTTTCTATCTTTTTCGTTCAGCCTTATATTCACTTGTAGCAGTTTTGATCCTCAGAGAACCGCCCGTATAATTGGCGCATTACGCGATAGTGTCATAGAGCTTCCGACTTTGAATCATTGTTAGGTATATAATTTGGCAATTAGCTTATAGTAACTTGGCTCGTTTAAGCTTGGTACTTTGAAGGAGAATTGCACTTCGCTTACCAGATCATAGTCGTTTATCAAAAGAGGTTGGAATAATTAAATTAACAAGTTTAATCTACATGAAAACTATTTTCTTGGATCAAGTTCTAATAATATCGAACTGATATCTTATCTCGATACTATCATCAAAGAGCTAGCCTTAGTAACTTGGCTCGTTATATTACATAATTAACTTCGCTACTGTATTAAACGATCACTGATCTACAAGTAGCAGTAATGGCTTTTAGTTTTTAAATGAACATTATTATACACTTAGATCTCATGCACTCTCTAACCAGTGATTGTATTTATACGTAATTATCATTTAATTGGAATAAATATTTCGTGAGTGGGGGTTATCGCCAACGGGGTATAATTCGTTACTTGGTACCTAATCTATGGAAAGAAGTATAAGTCATATCGAAGCTTTCTCAAATGATAAATTAGAAGATTGGTAATATATATCTATCTCCAAAGTTATGAATAGCCATGAAGCCATACCATGAACTCACTAACTAAACCACTTTGATACGCTATGGGCCGTACGATGTTATCTAGGTATAATACCTAGTTGAGACAAATAAAGATTCTAATTGCCGTCTCTAAGTACTCATCTTATTCATTGGTCCATTAATTTAATATTCTCGTGGATGGTTATCCTCCCGGACTCGGACAATGAAAGAATGTCCGAGTATCTTATCTCCGCCGGAGAATACAGCGTAGCGTATGAAGGTTCAATGACGTTGACTTTAGTTCTGGTCTTTGGACATTATCATTAAAAACGGTGATTGTATTGGGCAGTGACTTTAAAATTCAAGATAATGCGGACTTAAGGTGCTATCTCAGCATCATCCTGATAGGTAAATGCGGCCTTTAAACCAAATCAAGACTCGACACTATACGATATCAGGACTGACCTAGAGTATAAAATATGAGGTTGCGGTGCAGTCGCGGTCTCCGCGGAACCATTAATGCCAAACGACAAGATGACATTGGCGCTTTGAAGGGGTAAATACCATACACCTTAACCACTTAGTGGACAACTGAGGTATGAGAGAATCAGTTCACTCAATGGTATATTCGATAGACTTTCAGATAGCAACAAGAATACGCAGACTATTTCACTAAAGAAATGCCATCACGCATGAAGCCCTCTCGATTTCCTATGCCCTTGAAATAGACCTGCATATAAGTCTATGAATGGGAAGCTCAGGCGTAACATGGCTCGTACATACCTACCAATGAAGTTGAAAGGTGCACGTCGAGGTATCAGTTCGCAGTTAGCGGACTTTATACATTGGTTTGAATAATCTCCATCTCAACATTAGGATATATATATATCTTGTATAAATCAGCCTCTCCCTAAGCTTGTCCACCTCATGATCTCAGCTACAAACATATATCTAATTATTTCAACTTCACACGAAACAGTACCAACTTACAATGGCTTCTAACAAGATTATCATTCTAGTCACCGGTAGGTCACTCGATATAAGTATAAAAACAAGAGACTGATCTTAGCTTAGGGGCCAGCAGCGGAATTGGTTACGAAACTGTTGCTGCTCTAGCAAATACGTCGGCTGATTTTCATATCCTACTCGGCAGCCGCTCCGTAGAAAAGGGCAAAAAGGCTTTAGAGGAGTTACAGTCGACTCGCAAGAGCTCTCTAAAAGGACCGATATCTGTGATTCAGATCGACGTGACCGACCAGAAATCTATCGACGCGGCTAGACAGCAAATCGAAACTCAGTTTGGAAAGCTAGATGTGTTGATCAACAACGCCGGTGTTATAATCTATCAGCCAGTCGACCAGCTAACTGCTCTTCGTGAGACTTTCGAGACCAACCTCTTTGGTCAGGTGATGGTAACAGAGGCACTGGAGCCACTCTTAAAGAAATCGGCAAATCCATACATAATCTACGTATCCTCGGAACAGGGCTCTGTAACCACTCGACTAGACCCGGAATACGAGTACCGAAACATCCGCGGGGACCCTTATCGTATGTCCAAGGCGGCGCTCAATATGTTGGCTGCTTGCCACCGATTCAACTTTGCCGAGTGGGGTTGCAAGGTTCTCGCATTCAACCCTGGATGGTGCGTCAGTAACTTGACCGGAGAGAAGGGTCGCGAGATGCGTCTCAAAGGGGGTGCCAGAGACCCCAAGGAGCCAGCCACAGCTCTGGCGGATATCGTCCTAGGAAAGAGGGATGCTGATATTGAGAAGAATGGGATGGTACATCTCGACGGAGGCATTTTACCCTGGTAAACGGTCTTACAAATCTGTCGAGTAGACTTGAGTTGGCAGTCGGGAAGCTATTGTTAGATAGTGACTCAGCCGGTTATGAATGTCTCCGCTGCGAGTTATAACTACGAGGAGTGTTGCATTATGATCGCTTTCTTGGGATATTATTTTCTTCCTTAGACTGCGTATTGGTGGATGAGAAATATGAGTTGATATTGGTGCCGTCATTACATAACATTGCAACTTCAATTATACTACTTACGACTATGTTATCAATGTTGCGTAGAATTCCACTTTATTATAGATGTCTTTTCGTATTAATGTGAAGGCACTATTCATGTAATCAAACTAATGATGACGATGGCGTTGACGTCTATTAGTGGCTATAAGCTAGGTAGCTATTTAAATGTTTATAGTATTTGCTTCGAGAGACGCACAACTAAAGTTTCGCCTAACACGGTAGATCTTCAATTTCTTATCCTTAACCTTTATCAGGTACCTATAATATTACTCTATCTAGTTGGCAGTAACGTCGAGTAGCCGATTTTAATTAGGAAAAAACCATCGACCACGCCTTCTTATAACAGAATGAGACCACATTTATCGCCTAGCAATGCCTAAGAAAAAAATAAGTCAACCCATTTTAGTTGACCATAGGGGGATTTAAACTTATTTTTGAACTTACTTGTGACTTGTGTTGCGGCACTGTAGTCAAACTAAGTAAGGTAAGAAGGACTTACCTAGGTGAAAGTGCCCGATATAAAGATAAATCGGAAGCCAACCATGTTACTTATGTAGTTTAAGCACTATGATTCAATTGCTGTATCTTCCATAATGACTTCCCAATCTCCCATGTGCGCCCTCCTAGTCGCTAGTCTCGCAACGTTATTCGAGTAAGTCTAATGCCTCTCCTTTAGCTTCAGTGTAGTTGCTGCCTTTACCATCTAATTTTGCTACACGTATTAGGTCTTTTGTAGCAGTAGAGCTAATTCTTTAACTTTATCAGCCATTTTTTTTCTATAATATACCAGTGCTAATGGTAATTTGTGGCTGCTGAATTGAGTGGTAATGGAAAGGGCTACGTAAAGATACAGTACATGGTCTTGTGGCATTGAATGTATGTTCGAATGGCTCTCCTTATTCATAGAGCTGATATACCGTATCTTTCAGAAATTGCTAGTTTCAGTTTCAGTTTTCCTTCATCTCAATCCTTTGACTCTCACACTTTAACCCCTAACTATTAGTCTTTTAGCTTTCTACATAAAAAGTATTTAAATTTGATATGGTTTTTGCCTTATTTTAAAAATGTTAGGGGTAAAAAGTATTTATAGTTATTTTAAATATTTTCTACCTATATATTAAATTTAAATTTAACTAAAATATATTAAAATAAAATTTTTAAAAAAACAATTCTAATAATATATTCGGATTTATTATAAACTTTAAATTAAAAAATATATCGATAAAAATATAAAAAAGGTTTTTTAATAGTTTTTATTTTAATAAAGTTACATATACCATTAACCCGTACACCATGATAGTTAGATTAAATCAAATTTAAACTAATATATAATTTTAGTTATTTTTTAATAAACTAAAATATAAAATTGAAAAAAATAAATATAAAAAAATAAAAAAAAAAAAAAATTAAAATATATAAAAATATTTAAAAAAAAAAAAAATTAAAATATATAAAAATATTTAAAAAAAAAAAAAATTTTTTTTAATATTATACGTATAAAATAATGCCCCCAATAAGTTTCGGGTTACCTTCCTAAAACCGTTACAATTAAAGTAACCGTTATATAACTAATATAACCGTTATAATAAATATAATTTAATAGTTTTAATATAAATATAAATAAAAAATTTTATTAAATAAAAATTTTATTTTATAAAATTTTTTATTTTTTAACATTATATTTATATTTTAATATATTTTTTTTTAATTTTTTTA